ATATATATATATATATATATATATATTTCTATTTTAAACGCCTACCACTCAAAGTCCTTATCCCTTTCGTTCGTATTAATAAATATCTGCACATTGATACAAGGTGTTTCACAAATTAACCGGTCTCGCAAGTACTTTCATTTAAAAATCACACCTTTTCTAAATTTGACCGTCGGTTTAAAAAAAAAAAAAAATAGAAAAAAAAGAGACAAGAACACCGTGTATATCGATAATCCCTTAAACGACGTCCAATCGAGCAGCATTAATCGTCATTCGATTAGAAGCGACAAACCGATCGATCAAAACTCCTGATGCTCTCTAAAATACATCTTTCCAGGTCACAACATGTCCGGGGTAGATGGTAACAGCACGGAAGGTGAATCCGCTTGCGGTCGGGCCCCTGCACAAACCGGTCCCGGTTGCTATCGTAATTATGAGCATTACAGTCTCTCCCGGCATCGTCGTAGCACGTCGTCCTGTTTCCCGAATCTGCCGAATGACCTACCGACGACCCCGGATAGTCCGAATCGTCGTTTATTGGACTTCGCACAGAGCGTACCCGGGACACAGAACGACGATTATTTCCACGACGAGGTACCGGCGCAGAACGCGAATCAAGGCAATACGACACCCAGCGTAAGTAATATATATTGGCGAAATTATATATATATATATATTCTATTTTTTTTTCTTTTTTTTTTTCTTTTTTTTTCTTTTTTAAATGGCCTCATCATTCACAAGCCTAAATGATTCCCGACGGTTGAGAGATCGAGATGTATATTTATTTATTTATCTATTTATTATTAGACGAATTAATGAATAAATATATTTCTTCAATAAAAATAATAATTGATTTTTACAAAATTATAAGGATTTTTATTTGAATTTTGTGATTCTTACCTAAAATATCTATCAATCAGCTTGAAAAAATATGGATTGATAGAAAATATTTTGATTAATGATATCGTCGAGAATCGGATAAATAGGCTCGTTACAATGACGAAGCAGATAGCTTCCTAATATGTATTATTTCTCGTTCGTTTCTGAGGAAGCATCTATTTCGTAAAACGTAGAGCATAAAACCACAGGAAGGCCGCGAACGTTATTGTCGTTGTTTAAAATCTACAATATAATGTAGATGTATATATATATATTTCTTTTTTTTTTCCCCGGCTGGTCGATGTTTTATCATTTCAATGTTTTGTCATTATGTACGTATATTATGACGAACTGCTTGCTTTGATTTACTTTGTTGGTTTTTAAAACGAAGCCCACAAAATTGTTCACAAGTGCATCTTCCTAAATATTTGACGTTACAACCCTTTTCGCAACGTCCTGCTTCTTCACAGGATTATGCCGAGTATCGAAAATCTGCAATTGCAATTGTGCAACGTATGTTCACTTTTTTTTTTCCTTTTCCATATGATACGTGTAAAAAAAAAAAAAGGATCAAATATTTACGCGTACAAAGTAGGACGAGAAGTTTCAATGATGGGCCAAAAGTTAGGAAGTCATTATAAAAAATAAATTACACTTTTTCGAGACACTTTGGGCCAACTTTTTCTTTCTTTTTTTTTTTTATATTCCAATAAAACTACGAGTCTGAGCTACATAAAATTACGATTTTTAACTCTTTCCTAAAAAAAGAAAAAGTAAAAAAAAGTCGAGATAAAAAGTGTAATTAATTTGTAAAATCGCTTTAAAAAACTTTCGGCTCAGGTGGAAACTTTGAACTCTAGCCTTTGAAATTACACGATATCGTAGAATTGTCGAATGTGGGACGCGTTAAACTTGAATTATTTCTCTAGAGTTTCGAAATCTCACAATCAATGATATATATTTTTTACACGAACGAAATTCAAGTCGATATTCACAGATTTTAGAGTTGCATTAATATTTTTCTTACGACATATTTCTACGTTTATTTTTGTTGTTGTTGTCTTTATCGTTGATTTTTGGATTTTAAACAATTTTCTTCGTTCGTTCGTTTGCTTTTTTTTTTTAAATTTCTTTTTTCGCAAAAATGTCGGTGTGTGTCGCACTATGTCGCCAGCATGAATTCGACCTTATTACGTGTTCCTGCCCTGTGCTTTTATACTCTAGCGTAAAGCAACAAGCGATGGAGCCAGATATCAACGCTTATTATTACCGACACCATATATCTAAATATATACATACATACATTTATTTATTTAACTATTTATTTTATTTTCTATTTTTTATTTTATTATCTATTTATTTTTTTCATCGAGCACGCTCGAAAGTTTGAGTAAAGAAAAAAATAATTAGCAAGATTAATTAGCCATTCGTTATCGATCATCATTAAAAAAAAAAAAAAATAAATAAATCAATGCTGTTTCAAGTTGCGATTAACAACGGCTGCGATTTTAAAGACAAAAGTATATATAATTCATGCGTCGACTTGTTATGAATTATTATGATCTGATATTTTGCATATTGACAATACAATTGTAGCGTGTGAACCCTTTTTAACCTGTTGCACTCGAAAGTATTTATTTTTACTCATATTATTCTGGTTACTCCTTTTTAGCTGCTATAATAATTTATTCCAATAACGAATGAAATTGTTACAATTTTTTTTTGTTTTCTTTATATTATTATATTAATTAGAAATGATTTGTATATCTTTGCTCCGGAACAGAATCCTTGAGTTTGAGGATGAATTTAAAATGACTCTTAGACTTTTCAACATTTAGGTCGCTCGTTTTTTTATATTTGTTAATAAATACAAAATATTGCACACAATAAAATTTGTAAGATAAATTAATAATAATATTGACAACACTGCATATATTTATTACTTTTTTACATTTCTGTATTTTGTTTTCATTATTTTAATCCGTACTTGACATTTCTTTATTACACTTATCAACGAATATATTTTTTAATATCTTCAAAAATGAAGTACTAAAAATTAAGTAAAAAAAAAAAGATTACGAAAACAAAATTAATCGTTTTTAAAAAGCAACTTCAAGTGTGCTCGATGTTGTAGCTTAAAAAAAAAAAACAAATAAAAGTCGCAAGAGGAAAAAATGATGCATTATTTACAAATTTCAATTGCAAATAATGATTATTACCGATCTAACGATATATCGATGATTTATGTATTCCTTGTTAGTTAAAGGAAAGCGAGAAGAACGATCGTTTCTTTTCTTAATGTTAAATTGCCAATGTTATTACGGGTTCATATGTATATGCCTATGTGCGTGTGTATATTATATATATATATATATATACAAAAGTAAGAAAATACCTTGATCGCAATGTTTCTAACGATTGCAAAGTCCAAGAATTGCCACGCGTGTTCTTTCTGATATATAGATGCAATAGGTTCGTGCTGAAAATAGTATGACATTCTAAATAGCATCTTACACGCCAGCTGAGTGAAAGAAGAGTTCGCTTCTACGTGTATATGTATATGTATCTATCTATCTATCTATCTTTTTATCCATCTATCTATCTATCTATATTTCTATCTAACCTATCTATCTAACTATGTATCTTATAACTATCCATATAAAAAAATATATACATATATATATATATACTATAATATAATATGTATATATGTGTATATACATGTGTGTGTACATCATGACACTTAACTATAAAAACGTTCGATCCTCTCGCGTTCCTATTTGCAAGTGAGAGAACGGATTGACTTTTTATTTATTTATTTATTTATTTATTTATTTAAATTCTTGTATCCTTCCTATATAACATTTAACATTTTATTGTTTTTTTTTGTTCATGCAAATATCGTGTCATCCACGATGAATGATTCATACGAAGTATGTTGAAACTCTCATAAGCAGATATAAAAGCAGAAATAAAATGTACTCTCATTTTATTTGGAGACTTGCGCAATAACGTCGTTTAAAATTCAGAATAAAACATTCTTTCTTTCTTTTTCACCCCTTCACCCCATATTAAAATGTTGGAGGTGTAATATACGGGGTGTCCAAAAAGTCCTTTAACGCACACAATTCAATATTGATTTATTCAATAAAATTGCAATATTTTGTTGTTTTTTTGATCATTTTAAGAAGCGAATTTGCAGTCACGGTGTTTCCTTAGACAAACAAATGAGCCCAATCGAAAGAAAAATGAAGAATTTTTCACTTTTAGGACACTTACTATTTGCTATAATATATATACAAGTGTTTTAACAAAGATTCGTTTGATTTATTTTCTGCGCAAGTCTTTAACCTTTCGCGAACGAAGCAACGATCTTTGAGGAGCCCGAAAGAACGATTATTTCTTTTTTCATCGTTATATTTATCTTTTACGATTTTTCCTACGATATTCTATCTTTATATATATATATTTCGATGTATGTAATATTTTTCACGATTTGTTCGCACACCCGTTTACTTTCCCCACCCCTCACACACACACTCACACATAGACAAGTATACATGCACATTCGTTCGTTTTCCTATGTGAGACACCATTTTGAAACAATACAATTGAACCTTTATACGTATTTATATACTTTACACATAATCTATGTTTTTATAAACACGTAATATTAATATATTCGTTTCACGTATTTTCTTTTTCTTTTTCTTTATTTTTCTTATTTTTAATTCTCTCGATAATTTTGATATTTTCAATTTTATAAATACAAAGTTGTATTTTAAATCGTTGTCGACGAAGTGGAAATAATTTGGTCGATAGCTAAAAGCTTTGATCATTTGATCAGTTATAATTTTTCTTTTGGCCCCCTCTTCGATATTTTTTTATTATTGAGTTCAATTTTTGCGATCGAATGAACAAGTATTCATAAAGTACAAAGGTCTCTTGGATCGATCGTTCATTTGCTCGAGAAACATTTAACTTCGAACTAATAGTTTACGGGATCTCGTTTGTTCGTGAAATATTTTTTAAATTCATTTTATCTTTATTTGGTTATTTTTAATTTCTATATTATTCTCGTCCATCTTTTTACACTTTCTTTTATCGTTGACAAAAATAACTTCCAAACATTTGATATTCGTTCTATCAAATGTTATGTAAAATTTAAACGAGAATTTCACCCCAATTGTTTAAACTTCTATAAACCTAATTATTTCTTTTATGTTTATAGACAAAAATTATGTGCGCATATATAATTTTACTTATATATTAATGTTATACAATTGTAAAAATGAAATTTATAATTAAGATATATGAACTTTAAAGAAATGAGGATTAATAAATGTGCTAATCGATGATTTTATTAATTCATTTGCAATATAATTAATATACTTAAATTATAGAAAAATATTGAACAATAATATTGGAAATAATTCAATTTCAAGATACATAAATATTATACATGCGTATATATAAAAATGGGAATGATTTATAAATATTACTTATATATTATATTATTAATTTAACTAATCTCCTTATATAACATATTACTTAATATAGATGTATTTAATAAAAATAACAAACTTTCGTTGTGATAAGAGGGAGAGAGAAAAAAAAAAAAGAAGAAAAAAACCATTGGCAATGTCAGTCAAGTGGTGATAAAAAAAAAGAAAGCATTCAAATATAAAAAAACAAAAAAAGAAAAAAATAATTCAGATATATGAGAGTGCGTTAATTGAATAGAAACAAATAATAAGTTGAGTAAATTTGGTAGAGGGGGGGTTTTTTTTTTTTTTTTAAAAAGTAAAGAAAAATAAAAGGCCCGACCGCAATACATCAGACGCTCATATATATCTGACAGATTTTTTTTCGTGTCGATATGTTACAGGCAATGTCCGACAGCGCGCATTGAACCAGCAACGTTGAGAAAAGCTGTGCCCTTCTAACACACACACACATATATATATATATATACACACACACAGATTCGTCGAAGAGACAAATTGACCTACTCTAATTGTCGGACCTTGCCGTCTTGTTGGTTGTGTGTCTCTATTAGAACGAATCTATGCGGAAAAAAAAAAAAGTAAAACTCGATTGCGATTAATCGAAACTTATTCTAATGGTTCCGGAACTAACCACTAGTGTCTAACATTTCTAATAGGATTAACGTTTTCCGAATTATTTAATATTATATTTGAAGAGACAAGTGGATCTCGTTACTTTTTCATTAGAAAATTTAAATATCTTTTAAAACTTATCGCATAAGTTCTCTTCATACATACGTACATTCAAATCCTAAAACATTTTAATCAAATTTTACCCGCCGAACACACACTTATCTTGAAAAATAATAATAACTATTATTTACTACTACTACAACAACAAAACAATTAATTATATAATTAAGATTCGAATCTTTTTTTCTCGGAACGATAATTGAACGAATATACCTAAAAGACGTAGAAATGAAGAAAATTGTAAAACTGAACGAACAAACAAAAAACAGAATAAATAGAAAAAAGATTATCGTATGTAATTTTACATGTGTAATTACTACTATTACTAATAATGATAATAATAATAATAATAATAATAATGTTGATGATAATGATGATTACTGAAATGTGATATTGGCTGAATAGACGAATGAAACTAATTACCACTATTTTCCAATTGTGAATGAATGCGAGGAGAGAAAAAGACAGAAATACGTGTATTCAAATATTTCCAACGAAATTTAATTAACGCGCTTTTTTTTCCAATTTTTATATTTACTAATTCTTTTTATTTAATATTTTTTATACGACAGGACATATTCTCGAGTTTCCTTTGTTTTTTTTTCTATTTTTTCTTTTTTCTTCTTTTTTGTTTTTTACAAAAACTTTTGCGAAACTCGAAATTCGTTTTGCACGAATCGTAAATAATCAAATCGAAATTGTGTGTGTGTGTGTGTGTGTGTGTGTGTGTGAGAAAGAGAGTAAGAAGACAATGACATATCTTTTTCATATTTTTCTTTTTTTTTCCATTTAATTTTTTTCGTACGAACTATACCACAACAAAATTATACAAATTTATATCTAATCTATTCTTCGATTTAGGAATTTTTCTGCTAATATAATAAATAAAGAATACACATTTTTGCAAAACGTTACATGTCAAATTTTCTTCAAATCAAATCTTCTATTTTTTTTTTTTCTTTTTATTCGAAAATATCTTGAAAAAAATTATTTCGAGAGAGAGGGAATGTGTGCGGAACGCAAAGGCGTGGGAGAACAAATCCTACGATCGGCGGTTCCTATGGAAATGAAAAGACAGAAGAAACCATAAATATTTTACTTTTTTAATAAAAAAAATATTTTACTTTAGTTCCGATCAAACGAAATTGACGATAGATATTTCTTATAAAATTTTCATTTCTTCGTTCTTTTTTCCTTTTTTTGTTTTTTTTTTCTTTTTATCAGAAAATCAAGTGATATTATACATACACACATAATCAACGAAGACAGATCGAGCGATGATTTAATTTGAAATTCTTCAACGCAATGCCGTTAAAAGTTCGCGTAAGTAAAGATAGAAAACAATTGTGACGTCCGTTATTTTTTGTTTATTACAAACGATTTGATATACAGGCTGTTTAACAAGCGAGTATTTAACTATTATTTACTATTATTCTCGATTTTATTACAAATGAATCGATCTTTCGAGAATAACGAACGAAACTTGTGTAGAAAACATCCTGCATATTAAATCCGAACCGTGTTGTTACCACGTTTTCATTTCTTTTTATACGTACACCATATTTTAGCACCGTGTGTCTCACATTAATAATTTATGGGAAAGAAAATAAAGAAGAAAAAAAAAAAAAATAAAACAATCATCATCAATCGATTGACATTATCGCGAAAAAGGTTCGTTCGAGTAAACCTTTCGTTTCTAACGTCGGTAAAAGAACGAACCTCATTCCGTCTGACCACGTTCAAGAATTGACTACTTAATTTACTTATACTATACTCCTAAGTTTGCGACTCGCACGACAACACTATTTACTTACTTACTTACTTACACACACTTGCACTCCTTCCGATCTCGCGTATATAATTTAAAAAGAAAATTAAAAAAAAAAAGAAAGAGTATACTTGCGTCTCTCTGGCTCCACGTGATCGAATCTTTTATGCCATTTTTCTTTTCTTTTTCTGTTCTTTTTTATTTTTCTATTTTTCACGTTCCTTTTTGATCGTTGTTTTCTTCATTTTCGCGTTTTCCTATATTCTATTTTTATTATTAAACACTTTCTTCTTACGTTTGTTCGTTCGCAAAGCATTTAAATCGTTTAAAAAAAAAAAAAAGGAAATTATTTTATTTAATTGAATCAAAAATTTTCAAGTGTAAAAGTATTCGTGTAAATGATCTACCCTTGAAATCGTTTAGTAAATTTAATCGATAGGATAAAAGAAAAATTGACTAACGTGAAATTGTTCCTTTACCAGTCAATAACAATTGAAAATAAATATAAAGGAGAAATCATGTGAACGATTTGAATATTTCGCGAAATTATCCAGAGGACCGAGTCTTACTCGCAGATAAGTAAAATCGCAAAATTGTGTGTGTGACATTTGTAGGATGAAGAGAAAAAAGAGAGCAGAAAATTCGAGAAAATTGATGAAATACCTAGCGAATTCGAGTGTTGCTTTTGTACTACGAAGGTATTTACGATCACAAACGTTCTTCCTCTCTCTCTCACGGTAACATTACATACACCACTTCGCATATATTATTCTTCAAAATGAACGTACCAATATTATCTTCCTATACTATTATATGTTTTCATAAAAAATGAACCAAAAGAAAAAAAAAAGAAGGAAAACAATTGTTACAAGAGGTTTGTTGGTAGGTGTATGTAATGGCAACCCTCCGATTAAACAATCAACCGCAGCACAACTTTTTCATTGACACGATACTCCTTCATTCAAAGCTTTAGACGCCAAACATGTAGCTCGTCGTCCTCTTTCTCTCTCTCTCTCTCTCTCTTTCTCTCTCTCCCTCCCCCTTCAGCCCCCTTTCAGCTCCCTTTTCTTCCTAACCCTCACCTGCAATTTCATTTGCGTGTGCCTCGGTAATTTTCTAGGTCAAGGCACGTCGAGATATCGCCAAGGCGGTCACGCCAAGCGAGAATTCGACTCGTATTCTTCTCTTATTCTTATTCTTATTCTTATTATTCTATTTCTACTTCTACATTCTTCTTCTTTCTCCTCCTCTTCTTCTTATACTTATTCTTATTCTTCCTTCTTATTGTTAGTTTAGTTCTGCGCCCTTATTCTTGCCATAATGTGTAGCAAGCTCTTATGTTTCAATCGATATACAACGTGCCGTTAACTGAATAATTTCTTTTGGAAAAAGATAAAAAAGATAAAAAAGAAAAAAAAAGAAAAAAAAAGAAAAAAAGAAAAAAAGAAAGAAAAGACAGATGGAATAGAGTTGAAATCGTTACTGCCAAAGTTCGCGTGTGTTTGATATATTTAACCGTAAATACGTATCTCTATCTATTTCTCGGTTTAACTTTAAGTAGAACACATCCGTTTTTCGATCTCTCGTCATGTTATTTTATGTAAATTTGAGCCATTCTTTAAAAAGATTCGATTTAACGAAAACCTGGTTATTTTTTTTTTATAAATCGCTCGAAATTTTACATATACGCGTTATCAGTACGGAGAATTTTTATATATAATTCTTAGAAATGATATAATGTTTATTGTGTACTGGAAATTGTTCGGATAATAATTATAATAATTCTCGTACACACACAGAAACTCTTCGTTGTAGATTTTTGTCCACAAATTTTTACCGTAAAAAATAAATTACGTTATTTCATTTGAATTGATTTTCAAGGATTGTAATTTTGAAACACTCTTGGCATATACAAGAGGAGTATATATATACATATAATTTCATTTCTATCGATTTGTGATTTATAAAATTAAATAATAGAACAAAATTGAGATTAATTTTGTTCAATGTAGATAATAAATGAGACGATTAAAATGAATTATTTGAAATAATACTGTATAGAAAATGAAAAAGGTAAAATGTATGAGAAATTATTCAGTACGGTCAAATTCATCGTACACAATGTATCGGAAATAAGCCTTGTTAGATAGTTTTACACTATGTAATATTATACTTTTTATTCGTTAGATCGTTGTTTTTATTCATTAATTGTTCATCTTATTAATTCATTGATAATAGTGTTGCTCGAATAAAAGATACGCATAGTGAAAGAAAAAAAGAAAAATAGAAAAAAAAACTAGAATTAAATAAAAAACGAAGCTAAAGCAGAAAACACGTGTTACGTGTTCACGTACGTACACCAAACACCTTGTTAATTAGCACTATATTATCTCGTTTGGCACAACTGCTTAAGGCCAACAGGCGAATCGAGTTAATTAATAATAGTTAAATCCCCTCCGGTATTACGGCTTTGCTAATAAGATTAATAGTATTACTACTATTATTGTTATTACAGGGTGGACGTAAGATCCTTAGATAATATCCTAAAATATCCTAGGTTGATATAAAAAATCTACGAAGGTAGATTGAAAAGTTTTGAGCCTCGATAGAGAAAAACTTTTATCTTATTTTTAAATGAAAGTGAATTTGATCAAAAAAAAGAAATTGTTTCCGCGTTAGGCTATAAACTTTTTATCCATCTCCCTTCTTTCCTGATTTTTTGTTCACAAGTTTATTTTTCATCAAATTATAAAACTGCAAACTTAACTTAACTTCGTACATTTGCACAAGTTTAATTACAAGTTTAAACGATATTAGCAAATGTTTAATTGATTTTTCGAATTACCTTATAACTTTCGACCAACCGTAGTATTGTTGGCCCACCCTGTACTATTTTTATTACTATTATTAATTACTATTGCTGTCGAGTGCACGCTATTAAATGAAACTAACGAATTCGATATTTTTCTATGTTTGAAACATTTTGTCTGTTCGATGATTAGAGAATGACAAATCAAATAATATTTTTTATTTGTTTTCGTAGTATTTGTTGGCGATAACTTGATCCATATACGTTAGAGTAACATGATCGTTATATTAGAACGATACTTTTGATATTTTGTATTATAGTTAAAGTGAAAAAGTATTATTTTGTCTAGAAATTTAAATGGAATCGATGTTTTAAGTTTGATCAAATTCTTTCAATTTGTTTATTTCGAAAAATATTAGAACGTTGCTAAAAAGATTAGTGTTACAGAAAGATTTAGTCAATAGATTTTGTACGTGCATGTTTTTTATATTGATATAAATTAGACATACAAGAGTGTGTGTCACTTAAAAAATCGTACAATGTTACGCTTATTAGATTTTTGCTTGAAAAAAAGCTATTGGTATAGTGTGTTTAGAATGAAAACAATTTAGAAATAAATACATTAATATATCTTAATTTCATCATAAGTTTAACTCGAAAGCATTCAAAATTAAGCGAATAGAAAAATAATATACTGAAAAAATAGGAAAAATATTTGATCTTTTTTGTTCATGTTTAACAGTTGCTCGTTTTTTATTTTAACTGTTATTAAAAAATTTGTTAATATCAGAATCAATTTAAATGAGATATTATATACGCGAGTTATAATTAAATAAAGTTTAAACGATTATACATTGAAAAAAAAAACATTACATATTTATTAATATACTTCGAATATTAAATAATGTCGATTAAATATTTAATCAAATGAAAATATTCAACTCGAAGTAATTATTGATCAAGAACGTTAAAAACAAATGTACTTTTAGTTTAAAAAGAAAAAAATCCCCAATATCATTAGAGCACGTAAGAATTGTCCGACACATCTAATAATAATTGTTAATCAATCGAAAAAAATGTACATTGTTATTTAAAATCACGGAGTATAAAATTGACGTACCTTCCTCTTCGAAATCCAACGTCAGACTGGCACAGGGTCCTCTGTGAAAGTACTTTTATTGAATGTTGTTTATATGACTTTCCGAAAAAGGAAATTCTATTTATTAAGAATATTACTTTTTCTTATGTATATGTAGCCTTTAGAAAGTTATATAAACAACATTTAATAAAAGTACTTTCACAGAGGATACCGTGCCAGTCTTATCGTGGATTTTGAAGAGGACGGGTGCACCAAACATATACTCCGTGTATGTATTTTTGGTTCGTATTATTAGAATATATTTATCCATCGATTAATGCATGAATTAGCGGAATGTTGGCTAGTGAATTTGAGTAGGTGGGGGAGGGGAAAGGTAAGGGGTTTAACCGATCGATTGATCGATGCCTGAGGATTTTGAAATTCGCAGCGAGTCGAAATGAAATTGGCCTAATTCTGAATTACATCATCAATGCTACTTTGTACCAATGGTAATGTAGTTTGAATGAATAGTCAATGCCTCGATAGCATTGAAATAACAATTCTACGCCAATTTCTTTGACATATACAATTAGTAAAGATGATTTCATTCTATTCGTAGTTGCATCGTAGCTAAAGGGGTTAACAAATACGCTTTATTGTTAGCTAAGATTAACGCACATGTAACAAATATTTTCCTTAAGTTTCATATTTCGTAATATTTTTGATTGAGATACTTTAAATGTGATTGAAATCTTCTTCTTCTTCTTCTTCTTCTAATCCTTCTTCTAATCCTTCCATTCTTCTTCTTCTTTTTCCTGTATTTTCTACATTGTTCAATGCCGTCTATAAAGCAAATTACCATCGCGGACATACCAGGCGAGTATATAATTGTACCTACATGTGTCATGACAATCCTTTAGTAGAATGTTTCATTGAACATTTAGTATACAAGCACGTAGTATTGTTATTAATTATTATTATCTTTCTCTGTGGCTTTTTTTTCTTATTTGTTAAATAAATTAAAGAAAAAAAAGAAAGGATTCTTTTTCTTTTCAATAAAAAAGAAATGTAATGAAAAAACATATTAAAGACAAAAGAGAGAGAAAAAAAAAACATGAGTAAACAACTCTTTTGGAGGAGTATCACGTTCGAGGGTAAGCACCGATGTCTCTCTTACCTTGATACTTCTTGCCTATTGTTTGAAAAGTGTCTTTTCACAGCTCGCTTCTAGTCAAGAGTGACACTTTATTCTTCTCGAGATTCCTTTCAAGTTTTTCCTCATTCTTCTTCTTCATCTTCTTTTCTTTTTTTTTTTCTATCGCCGAAATTATGAAAAATAAATCCGACGAATCGTGTTTTCTAAATATCGACTAAATAAACGATTTTTCATTCGCAAATTTATTTCGCTAATGATTTATCGAAGATATTTCTTTTTGTATAAAAGATCGTTCGCGTTTTGCATATAATTTCGTACGAAATGAAAATAAATCGCTCAATTGGATTCGATAATATTATACATATAGAATAAAATGTTGATCTTGTCGAAAAGAAAAAGATATTATTTGTTGGAATCGTGAATCGATCTCGTTTTATTTTGTTCAACGTAATTGAGGATACATAGATGAAAATGAATATAATTTCGAATAAATCGCGAGTAATTATTATTTCATTTATTTCATCTAATACTTCTTCTCATTAATCCGCGAGAGAAGAAAAACAACAGGCGCCGCAAGGTGTTGTGTCGCGGAACCTGGCCAAGGGTTTTAGAGGGACTCCTCGATCTTTTTTAGGAATACAAAGAGTTCAGAGACGCCGAGAACATAATGCCATTGGCGACGAGCGACTTTCGTAATCCCGTTTGTCAGGAGCTACGATCTCTCAGGTCTGCAAGCGGTATTGATCGTATAGGATCAATTTTTGCGATTGAAACGAAGACTTCACCGTTGCAAGCACCCGACGTGTCCTCTTCTACGTTCGGCAAAGTTTATAACGAGCAAGGGAGTGTCGACAGTTCTGACACTTACGCTAGTTGTCAAACTCATCCCTCGCATTCTCAGGTAGGCCGATAACCTACGAATTATTATTATCTTCTATCACTGATCGACCATTTTCTTTTTCTCGTTGAACGTTTTAAGGGCGACCTAACGGAAGAGGCGGACAGCAACCTTTACATTAATCCTTTAGAAGCAGCCGACAAGTGTGCTGCTGGTGGTGGTAGTGCTGGTGGTAGTGCTGTTGGTATTGGTAGTAATAACGTTACTACGACAGGAGTTGGGAGTGGTAGTGTTGGTAGTGTCACTAGTGTTGGGATTGGTGTTGGAAGAGTGAAGAAATCGGTTTCCGGAGAAGTTGGCCGTAATGTCAATGATGTATCACCCAGCGTCGAATCTCTCAAAGATATTCGTCCTTTCAACGAGCCCAGTAAGGTCGCCCTGAACGACTCCATACCTAAACATAGAAAAATTCGTATTCAGCAGGTAAGTGTGTAGAAAGTATTTGCAATTTTTTTTCTTTTTTTTTCTTCTTGTTTCAATAGGTAGTTATCAAGTGAAATTAATTAGACGCTCGAATTAGACGTGTTCTTATTATTATTATTATTATTATATTAGAACAATAGTCGATGAAAATTCTCGTAGTTGTCAGCGTTAGTATCTAGTAGGCTTCCTCGGTGTCACCATCATTCATTTCTTTCATTCCCATATTCTATTTCTTTCTTTTTTTTCTTTCTCTCTTTCTCTCTCTCTCTCTCTCTTTTTCTTCCCTATCCTAAAAATACATTTCACGAATAATATATTATACTTACATACGTATATACAGCTGAGGTTATTGATTTATTTTACGATGAGGCTTTTCTTTGGCTCTCTTTCTCTCTAGATTATTGAATTTGTCTCTCTTTATCTTATCCCTATGATAATATTTTATATTGATTAAATCAATAATATTATTTTTGTATTGAATCAAATCTGTTTGATATTGTATGTAATTTTAAATAAATTATTTGACAATTTTTCAATAACTTGTAATATGTCTCGTTGTCAATACTATTTCGTTAAAAAATCTTTAGCGCATATTATATCTAATTCATTTATAAATATTAAAATTCATTCAAATATCCTTCCCCTCCCCTAAAAAAAAAACAGCACGGAGAGAGAGGGAGAGAGAGAGTTATTAAACATTTAACATTAAAAATACACAACTGACACACGAAGAAGAATACGTACTATTTAACAAGCACAAAAAATAAAATTGAAAAATGCATACACGAAATTATCGCGCATATACGAAACTCGTTGGAAAGATTGTCTATTTCCAAAACCAACCCTCCGGCCCCTATCAACCCTCAACCACCCGTCAAATGTTTTTAATCTCGTAAGAGATATGAGAAAATAATAAAAAAAAAAACAAACAAAAGAATACAAAGACTCCGCCTATCGTAGAAATATTTTCTCTCGTTGTCAGATTCTTTCGCTTGAAATTAACTATTTCCGAACACCCTCGCGCCCCCACCCCCTCAGCACTCACTAATCAAATGTTCTAATATCTCGTGAGAAATGTGAGAAAAAAGAAAAAAGAAAAAAAAAAAAAAATAGAAATGGACACTTAACACACTCGCCTATCATAGAAATATTTTCTCCCTGATTCTTTCAGTTGCGCAAACCATCGAGATCAGAAATGGAATACAGATGAAATATCGCCGAAAGCGAATAGAATTTTGTGTAAAGTTCTTTCTCTTCTCGGCTCGCGTGGAAGCGAAACGCGATATTGAAATCGCGGGGGGCACACGTCAAACCTCAAAGAAAGAAGTCGAGATACTCGTTTATTTATCGACTCACCAGGACCGTCCTTTGGTCTTGATCGTAGAAACGACATTGGAAGTATAAAGATGTCCCCCTCAAAACCAATAAGGATAGACCTCGGACTGCGGGTATCGTTTATGTTCATCGCTAAATCAACGCTTTTTATAAAAACGCCTATTCCCCGGTAACCCATTATTCATCAAACCTCTTTTATCATCAACCAACCAATCCACCAACCGACCAATCAAACCCTGACATTACCCAAATACTATATACCCACTTGAACACTTGACCCAACAACGTCTTCGTCACCAGCCGCCCCACCTCCCCCAGCTACACTCTTTTCTATATTTTTCTGATCGATACAACTAATTTAAGTTTAACGAAAAATCGTTGCTTGTCCGTTGCGTGTTTTCACTTGATATATAATTGCACGTTTCATTACGTTTATGTATTTATGTATATATATGTGTGTGTGTGTATATTACCGTGAAAGATTGGAATTGGATAATGTCAAGATTTAATATGGTCGCTTGGTGTATATCCGAAATATTAATGTACCCAAATATTCGGTATATGTGTCACAAACAACCATGTTAATCTTGACATTCTCTAATATCGGTCTTTCACGGTAACAAATATATATATACACACGTATAATCACCGTGTATACGGGTTTGACAAAAAGAAAAATTTCATATTTTTCATTGATTTTATAAGTTTGCCTTCGTAGTTATAGAAACCTGAAAAGGAAACAAAATTAACGTTTGTCGAAAATTGTTAAAATTATATAAATATTTGATGAAACGACACTCTCGAATAGTTTTGTTGCGTTTAACTTAAATATCAAAATGGAAAGAAAAATTTAGTAAAGCAACGAAACGATTCGAAGAGTTCGCAAACGCAAACTTTCATGCCTTACTTTAATCGATTCATGTACATATATCTTTTATTTATTTTTTTTTTTTTGTATTTAAAAATATCGACCCACCCATACATTTCCCGGCTGTTCTAATTTATCCAATTTTTAATCGATCATTTGTTTGTCGAAAGTAAGAAGAAAATTGTAAAGAAAAAAAAAAAAAGGATTCACTTTATATGCGTATGCACGTGTACGTATAATATGTATAAATAATAATAATAATATTAAATCGAACTTGTGTATTAATCGTACACGAACGGGGGGGCCAAAAAAAAGAAGGAAAAATGCTCGCATGAGAGGCAAATTTGTAATGTAAATAATAAAAATGTAGAAAGAGATGTCGTATTAGTTATAATGCGGGGCTGATTGCAGAGCGGCAGACCCCGTGCCCAATTTATCTGCGACCAGGATAATACATCGACTCGAATCACCGTGAAAGAGATGGAAAACAATAACAATCATTATGGAGGACTACGCGGTGGACGACCATTCGCGTTCGGACCGACAAACAGCCTTGCATCCGCAACTCGCATAATCAATCAACATTTCTTCGGATCGATTAGCGGTCCTAGGCATTACAATACAGGTATTTGTTTATTTCAAACAAAACAAAAAAATAAATAAAAAAAAAAGAACAGAGGGAAAGAAAAAGAAAAAGATATATTATTATGCGGATTCTTGTCGGATGCAATAAACATTTTGTTGGAATAATAATACGAGTGATACTTATATAGTTGTTAGGGATATTAGAAGAATTTTGTTCACTCGGTTTAAACTTCGCGTGTCGTTGGAATTTAAACGGATAGAAATTTCTAGAATATTTTCTAAGTGGTATTAAAACACTAGTTCTCGGTGATTGATGGTGATACATAAAACAGGATTCGATAAAATAACTTCGTCCTTGTATAGGTCATAACCTACTTTCTCCTATTTTTATGCACATGCAGAAATATATATATGCATGCATGCACGCACACCCACAACACACACACACACACACACACATTTAATATTTATATATTCGCGAAAATGTTTCTAACCGATATAAAATAAAGTGATCGATACTTCGCGTGAACTGGCTAAAAAGAAAAATAGAAGAAGAATAAAAAAAAAACTAAAATAAAACAAACTTCTTTTCTTCTTCTCCGTAAAATTTGTGTATTTTCTTGTATTAATTAAAAATAAAGAAAAATAATATATCAATGGCACGATTTATCCTATTTTTGTTGTTGTTCTTTTTTGATTTCCAGGCACAAACACTGAAAGCAAACTCTCATTGTCAGCGGACTCGATAGACAGCGAAGGTCTACCGTTCATAGAAAAACACCGTGTAGCTAAATCGATCTTGAAGAAATCAGAAAGTAGTAATAATTATTACAACAACGTGGGCGACTCCGATACGGAAAAATTAATAACCGATAATACATCAATGGGGAGCATGTGTGATAACGAGACCCATCCGAAACAACAACAACCACAACAACAACAACCGGTTTCACCACTTTTATCGAGACAAGTTCTCGAATCCATTTTCCGAACTAACAACAACGCTGAGAGAGATTTCTCGGCTGATCAAACTGATGGGAAGAACTGTGTTGCTAAAATACCAAGATTGCTCTTTGACGATGTCCTAGAAGGTACATTTTGTTGATCCTTAAATGAAAAATTTGTGTTAAAATTATCGTTTCATATATTTCAGAAGAGAAACATGCGCGTGACGAGACCGTGGCGGAAAATAAAAATAAAGAATCGGAAGAACACAAGCAACGTACGAAAGTACATACCGAGGAAGCTTCGAAGGATAGTCAAACGATGTTGATATGTTCGTTAAGACCTTACAAAGTTGTAAGGAAATCGGATGAAAAGAGGAAACCCGTATCGATTAAATCGTCAACTACAAGCAGTAGTCATACTTACAAAAGCTCGGACACGAATTGTCTTCCTCAGGAATATCGTTTCTCATCGTCGTAGCGACATTGGTATATTCATTCATTTTCCTACTCTTTTTCACGCGGATTCTACCTACTCAAATATATTTATTATTATTTCCATTAAAATTTAATCCTCTATAATGCCATTTTTATCGAAAAAACAAAAATCATTCGTATTATAAATTTTCTTTTTTACCATACTAATTATATATATGTTATACTATACTATTGAATATACTATACTAATATAAAAATAATCGTAAGTATAATTATATTATACTCGAAGTATACCATAAATGTAATTAATCTAACATTGATTCTTTGGACTCGTGTATCGCGTTGGAAATTGCAATTAAGGTAAATTATTTTAATTCATTTAAAATAAATATAAGTTGTGTGTGTGTGACACGCGACACGCGATTCTATTGTATACAATATACTGAAAAGTATAATTATACCGTTAGTAGTAATGATTTATTATTTGCTTTTCTCTCAGCATTGCAATATATTAAAAATCAACAAGAAAAAGAAATAAATTTATAGATAATATAATAATTATATTAATAAATTTACACTTGTGCTTTCAATTCTTTTTTCTTTTTTTTTGTTTTTCAATTTTTATTCGTATTTTCGGTTAAATTTCTTTCCTATCTTTTTAAATTTTTCTTCTACCACACACATACACACACACACAATCGCATAGATTTTGTTTACTGTTTTTAACTAAATTAATTCTCATTGAACTGTAAATATATTTATACTGCAACGTAATGTATTATACTTTTTGGTATAGTATATAGTAAAGTATAATGTAATTGTACTTAGTATTTTATCAGTATAGTATTAGATAATACACTGTATTTAGTGTAATAAGATATATTTAATATTAGGAAAAAAGAATAGTATAATATTATAATTTTTATTTTCAAATTCGACAAAAAAAACTAAATTAGAAATCATAAATCATAGAGGATTAAATTTTCAAATCATTTCAACAATATTCTTTTCTTCTTCTTCTATTTATTTTTCAATATACGAATATACGATGATAATTAATTTACAATTAAAAAAGAACAAAGAGTCGAGAGGAATACGAAAAAAATAAAATCCCCCATTTTTCCACGTTTGACGAGATATTTATTCAGGAAAAAAAAAAAAGAATCAAGAAAAACATTTATACTTTACGGATCGCGACGTGAACTTTTCATTGCAATTAAAACCTAAAATCGTGAAAAGAAAAAAAGAAAGAAAAAAATAGATTGAATTCAAACAAACATATATCTGCTGATCGTCGCTGATATTCTTCGTTAAAATAATATATAAATATAAATATAAATATAAATATAAATATATATATATATTTATAATTATATAAAAAATAAAACAAAAACGATAGGTGGGCGAAGGGGTAGGGAAGGAATGTTAACTTTAACGAAAGCAATCGCAAATTAAGTAGTGATATAGAATAGTAATTTATTTATTTCTTCGTTATCAAAGACCTACGTCTTGTAGAAAGGCCTAGATACGCATATATTCTAGTTCGCAACAGGTAATCTTTTAAAAAGAAAAAAAAAGGCTGGAATTGAAGGACACTTAAATAACATTCGAAGGAGATTCTACGCTATCTATACGAACCAAAAAAAATAAATTTACTTTTTACTGCGTAATTCTAAATTAAAATCAACAATCATAGAGGAATGGGAGATATTCATCGATATGAAGAAACAAATCAATACGCGTCAGGTGTACATATACGTGAACTGTTCTTTACAAAAAAAAAAAAAAAAGGAACAAAAATTATACAAGCATTGATAATAAAAAAGGAATAAAACTTTTTATTTACAAAAGATATATATATATAATAACTATGCAAAAATTATCCTAATTTTTATTTCTAGTTAGTTTAACTTTGTCTCGATGGACAATCCTACCTCCATTTTTATAACTAATTTTTATATTATTATTACGTAAAATCTCCAGAATCTGGTGGGGGCCAGTGTACTGATCTCCNAAAAATTATACAAGCATTGATAATAAAAAAGGAATAAAACTTTTTCATTACAAAAGATATATATATATATATAAAAAACAAGATATAACAAAAGGTGAATGATAAAAAATATTGATTAAAAGAAAATAAAGAAATTCGACAAACGTTAAAAGAAAAAAAAGAAATTATTGAATGAAAAAATAGATAATGATAACGAAAAATAATATGGCAGACGTACAAATAAATAAAAACAAAAAATATGCTTTTTCCAATTAATTTTCTTTTATTGGTGCTTATTTTATATATCTTTTATCATAAAAGAAAAATTGATTAAACGTCATTAATTAATAAAGAAAATGTTTCCGGTACGGCCCAATAAACTTTAACATTTCAACAATTAAATAATCATTAAGCTAAGTCAAGCTTTGCGTGTCTGAAAATGTGATCTGTGCATTCAAACAAAAATAATAATAATAATAATAATAATAATAATAATAATAATAATAATGTTAATAATAATAATAATATTAATAATAATAATACAGGAAGAAAAAAAGGGAAAGCGTGCTAATAGATAAATAATTAAAAAATATCAACAACACCATAAAAACGTTAACAATGCAAAGCTCGTGATTTAAAAGCTAAACTCGAATCTTTAAAAAAAGAAAATACATAGAGAAAATGAGACAAAAAATATAAATTAAATACAATGACCGTGGATATGCAATTGGTATGAATTTCAATTGGCGAATTCTGAGCTATACTGCCTTACGTAAAGTTCCCAAAAAGAAAAGAAAATTGCTGATCCTTTTAAAATGATTGATCCATATTTAAAAAAAAAATAATAAAAAATAAGAATTTTCTAAATGATCGCACGATAATGTGATGTATCATAATTAATGTATATAAATATATCCCAAATGATTATTCATTGAGAGAAGAAAGGGACGAAACGAAAAGATAATCTTAGAAGGTTGATTGATGATGAAGAGTATTCAAAAACATTATTTAATTTTGAAAAAACAATGGGAAACAAGTAATTCGATAAATATTCTACAAAACGTAAAATATAATAAATCCATACTCTCTCTTCTTTTATCTCTTCTATTTGGAAAGTTTTTCTTTATTTATTTCTTCATTCTTCGACTTTCATTGTATTTCTTCTTCTTTTTCGCGAAGGACCAATCCCTTTCTCGTTATCCTTGCGTTCAAATCTCCGTCAATGACCAGTCAAGTTTTAATATTATTTCTCTTTTTCTAGTTGTTTCATTTATTCCTCATTTATTTCGTTTATCAAATTTTTATCGTATTTTTTTTTGTTATTAAAGAAGGTGAGAAAAGAAATATTGCCCAAAGATGCAGAAAGAAATGGAATTAATCCTAGAACGTAGAAATTAAACGGAAAACTTATTGTCAAAGTATATTAATTTAATAAGAAAAAAGAAAGATAAAATAAGAGTCGGTGAAGAAATAAAATAATAAACGAATGGTACAAATCTTTCAAGTGGTTACTAGCGTGAACTAAAGAAAAATCACGAATAGAAATGACAGACATAATGGGGAGACAAACGAAAAATAAGAAAAAGAAAGAAATGAAAGAACGAATAAAAATTGGAAATAAAATGAAGACAGCAAATAAATAAAGAAACTATTTATAACTATTTTAAACTATTATAAAAGAAATCTAATATACGACTGCCTCGATCGATCACACATTTGAAAAATCAACAAATAAATTAATCGATAAAATATAATGAAAGGAAAACTTTGGGACAAATATAAATATAATTTAAAAAAGAAAAAAAGAAAAAGCCGATTAATTTTCGCGTTTGCTTTCGTTCAATTCCCTTTAACCGTTGTCGTTGTCGTATCAAAATATCAAATCGCATTAACTGTATTACTAATGTTAAAATATGTTAATTAAATTGTTTATCCGATTAACAATTTAAACCGAATAATAAGTAACGCGCTTATAAATGCTCGGCTATGATGCGCTATGCGATGAGAGATTATCGTATGTTTTAAGATATTAAGATAAGAAAAAAAAAACATGAATAATAATAATAATAATATAAATGAAATAAATAATTTAATTAATTAATTAAGTAATTAATAATAAAAAAGTGTACTTCGCGCGTGCTTTAAAAATGCTCATCGTCAAAGTTGGAAGAGTATAAATGGAAAAATGTAAAGAAATAGACAAAAAAAAATGATAATAATGATAATTTAAAAAAAAATATATATATATATATAAAAAGGATAGAATAAGCAAGCAGCATCAAGCAATCAGCAAAAGCAGCAGCAAAAGCAACAGCGGTATAAATAATCACTTGTTAGAACGTACTCGTACAATATCGTAGCGAAACTCGAGATATTATCATCCGTGTATAATCAATTCAGATACTGGTGTCCAACCGTATTTATTAAATTATCTCTTTTCGTTACAATAATTTAAACAAAAAAGAAAAAAAGATAAATAATACAAAACAATAAAGAGAATATATAATCTGATGATTAAAACAAAATAAAAAAAAAAAAAAACATTTGAAGCTCGACGACATGGTCAAAGTTGATAAAAAAAACTATATACACATAATATATAATAAAAAAGAAAAAATAATAATAATTACAAAAAAAAATCGATCTAATCGAACGGACTTTTTTTTCTCTTTTTTTTTATTAATTTTATTTTAATATGTGAATTACGAAGAACACTACGATGATAACGAGTCGTATCTTATCTTGTTGGCTGTATTTCAATCTTATTGTAAGATGATATCGTGTAAAATGAATATCGAAAGATTATCGACGAAGGAAGGACATATCTGTAAAACATCGTTATTATTATATTAATTGTTATAGTAGATAATAGAAGGAACGGTGTACAGTTGCGAAAAAGGAAAACACGAACGAAGAAAAAGAAAAGAAAGAAAAATACAAAAAAAAAAAAACAAAAAATAAAGAAAAAAGAAGTAAAGATAAAAATTATGCAAAGATAAAGAGTTAATATATAATCATCCCTTACATGATATATACGAGGGAATCATTGTTATGCTGGTGGTCTAATGTTCGAGCCTCGAGTACTTTATTATAACTTCCTTTGTTAAATTCATCTTTTCAAAATACTTCGACGTATACGTGCATACATATACATATATATATATATATATATGTATGATGCAATTTTGTAAATTTGATTTAAGTTTTAAATATTAATAATAAAATACTGAATAATATAGAAAATGACATATTGTCTTGTTTTAAAAATTGGCATTTCCATTTGAAAAGGTTTGGCATTAAAACACAGATTAACATCCCTGCTGTAAACACCTATTTTTGTCGGGATCGCAAAAAGCTTCTACCTACTGTCCGTATATAAATTTACATTTATTTATATAACACACAATCAAATATTAAAATGATTATATACAAATTTATATATTACAGTTATATAAAATAATAATATTAATATATATATATGTATGCATATATATATGCATGGATACGTCTAAAAATAATGTTCACATCGAGTCGACACTGACATCGGAATATACAAGGTTGCTAAAATCGTATAAAAAGGAAAGGTACGGATATTAAATAATCTCTCCACACATAATAATAATAATAATAAAATTAAATCAATAAAAAATAAGTCATCATCCTTTCCTTTTTTGCGAATGATCTCGATCGTTTTCGTACCTGTTATTCAAAGTTAGATCTCATTACCATTTCCCGCTTTAAGATTTTTAATGAAAGAAAAGATAAAAAAAAAAAGATTAATAATAATAAAAATACAAATATAGAACAAGAAAAAATAAATAAATCAGAAGGCGGATCAATGTCTTCACTAAGCTATTCTAGTTAAAAGTAGAAAGTTCCTAGATTATGTACAGTCGGTTACTATTATTATTATTACGATCATTGTTATATTATTTATTGTTTAACTCATTAATGATAATTATTAATATTAGTATAAATAGCGATGAAATAGTACAAAGAAATGCTAAAAGTCATAGACTTGTATCGTGAAAAATGGAAATGAAGAAGTCGACAAGTTGTTGATCAGATAGTGAAGAAATACTATTATATATTCGACTAATTCAATTTTATTATTAGAACGAACGAGAAAATACAGTCTTGGAAAAAGTATTATTGATCCGTTCAAATTTTCCATTCATTTAAAAAGCTACAATGTTCTGCCAAGATTTGATTTTATTTTTTATACCAATTCCCTTTTCAATTTAACTTTCTAATTTATTAAAATAATCTAATTTATTTCATACACTACCTGATCAAACCACAGTTGATCATTGATCATATAAAATGATTATTTTTTTGGTCTTGCAAGGCCTACTCTTCTGTAATTGTAAGATTCAATAGTACTGTGAAAAAAAAATAAAACTGCATCAAAGATTTAAGTTCTTATTCATTATACACATATAATCTCCAAAATAATAGAATCATTAAGGAAGTTTGCAAACTTTACGAATTTTACCAAAAAATTCAATTGTTAGGAAATTATTATTTTATAAATCAAGTCGAAATATTATATGCCAGGGATTTACTTTATTGGAATGTTATTTGCTATACAAGAATATAATCACGTATTTTGTAGTTACAGTGTGAAGATCAGAATCAATCGTACAATGTCAGAATATATCGAGCGCAATCTTTTTTCTTTTTCTTTTTTTACTTGTTTTTTTTTAAAGTATTATTATTATCGATCCGTTATATATTATTGTGTAAAACGTAGAAGTAGATTAACTCGAAGCTGGTGGTGGTGTATTAACAGTTTCGGTTGTGGTACTCGTACTGTCGGATACGATCGGTTTTTCTTGAAGCTCTAACCATGGTAATCGTTTTTGCAACTCGAGCCTATTTACAACAATATATACACATGCATATTTTTAATTAATTTTAAATTAATTATATAATATAATCTATCAATATTTTACATGACAATGATAAATTTCTAACTCTTTTAAATATATTTTATTGTTATTTATTTATTTATATATTTATTCGCCTTAATTCATTATTTTATTACCTGTACTTAGGATGACTGATTGCATAAACGTATGGATCGATACAAGCAACGCTTTTGCAAAAGCATGCAGGTATCATAGTAACGCCAGGAGTAAGTAACGCTTTGTTTCCAAACGCACCGATCATGGCGAGCACCGCATATGGTGTCCATGCGGCAACGAATAGGAAACAGATTGTAATGGCAGCCTAAAAAAATCAATCAACAAATAAATTAATATCTTTTAACGGCAAAATATCTAACTAAATGTTATTCATTTCAACGATATATCAATAATATGAATTTATATATATATATATTATATACTTTTGCTATACGAATTTCAGCAGATTGAGCATTCTGATTGGCGTTACTTCTCAAGCTTTCAACGTTCATCTTCTTAGCTTGTTCTCTGAGTGCCTTTTCATGATTAACAACATGACTAACAATTTGACTGTAATAATATATAATAAGTGACATTGGTATGCAATAGGAGAATACGAATAAAGTTAAGACGAAATATCTTGTTTCTCCTGTATCGGTTAAATAATCAAAGGTACAACTCGTAAGAAATCCTTCGGGTACGTAACGACCCCAAACACCCATGGCAGGCATTAAAACCCATGGTAACACATAAACCCAAATCAATCCGATGAAGAGAATCACTTGACCGCGAGATAATTTTCCATCCAATGGTCTAGCTATGGTACTATTTAATAAAATATTAATATTAATATACATATTACGTTAGATTATTATTATTATTATTATTTGAATGAAAAAATAATTGTATTACACGTTACCTGTATCTGTCATATGCTATAGCGGCGTTGGTTACCGCCGCACCAATGCCGGACAACGAACCGATCGTGGCAAATATCTGACACGCCAAATTACCCAAAGCGAAACCAGTGTAAAACGAATTGTAAATAAAAATTGGCGTCTTCATCATCATGGCAAAGTCGCAAATCGCAAGATTCACCACGAACATGTTCGAGGGAGTCCTCAAAGATTTGGCACTGCAAAAGAACAAATATATTTTGGTAAAAACAAACCACTTTTTCTTGTACACTCACTCTCATTTAAAAAGAACAGAAATTAGTTTTTTTGTCGGGGACTTAAAACTTTTCGACCCACCCGCATATATTCGTCCCGTTACTTTGCTTAGAAAAATACAAAAAAAAAAAAAACAAAAATAGGACGAAAATATGTTACAAATCCAATGATATATAAAGGATTATTAAAGAAGGAAAAGTGGAAGCATAATTAAAAAACAAAAGAAATGTTTACTTACGCGCAAAATATCCATATGACGAGACCATTTCCAAGCAAGGCAATGAATGTAAATAATATGTATAACAGGGCAAGCATATAATGAAGGGAGGGATTAGGCTCAGGAAAGACCAGCCAATGTTCCGGTACATGGACTAATTCTTCGGCAGGGACGTTCCATCCCAGCAGACGTGGTGGACCTGCTGGTAGAACTCTCGCCTCCCAATGAATACTGTCGTTGAACATGTTGGTGGTCGCCGTCTGCCAGTCCCTCACCTTGTTTTGAAATTATTCAAGAAGCGCTCTTTTATACCATATCCGTCTTGATTAAATCCATGAAACCTTTAATCGGCAGAATGATGTGGCTTCATTAGAGGATCAGCCAGGGATCATCCCTTTGGTTGCCATTGGTCAGCAAGACCAAGCCTCAAAGTCAAATCAATCAATTGTTACAACTGCAGTATCAATCTTTATTTTCTTCCTTCTTTATAATTCTTTTCTTTGTTGTTAATATTGTATATTATTTTATTTTATTTTATTAGTTGATTTCGAGTGTTATTTTAGTGTAGATTCGTTGAAAAATTTAATCAAGATGAATTGATACTTTTATCAAATTCTTCTTCTCTGGAAATATGTATATACTTTTTTGTTTTTCAACGTAATGACAATTCTTGTCTTTTATATTCCATATAAAGATTTTATATATTTAGAGTATATTAATATTTTCTAGATTACTTTATCCCGTACATTCTTTATATAATCACGCCGATCATACTCTGTGTGTACGTGCGTGTGTGTTAATTATACTATTTCGTAATATTTTTAAATAAAATACTGAAAAGGTATGTTCCTAATAAGAGATAAAATGATATGAGGAAAGCAAAGGTGATAAGTCAAATGAATGAAAACATTATGGAACTATAATTGAAACTAATAATGGTTGACATCATTCTCTTCCATGTCTTTCAGCAGATACCTCGCTTAAAGTATATGCTGGTAAGTAAGTAGATGGATTTTGAGGATCCTTTAATAAAGGATTTGGTAGTGTTTTTGTTTTAGTGCCGATACTCGTGTAACCCTTGTCGTATAAAGAACAATACGGCACTTTGTGTTTGAGCAAAAATTGCCACACTTGGGAATAAGACCAATCTAATATTGGATTGACTCTCATTAAATTTGACCACCCTGGATCAGTGACGGTAAATGCTTCTAATTTTTCTGCTCCAGGATCTCCCTTTCTCATGCCCATTAGACTCGCTTTTAAGTACGTTTTATTGCTTAAAAGTTTATCCAAAGCCAAACGCAATGGTGGTTCCATTCTAATTAATTCTAAACCATAATAATTAGCTGCTTCTTCTATGAACGCTTCCATCTATAAAATAATTCCAATAATATTCAAATTATTTATCATATTTACTATAAGAATAAGCTTATAGATGTATTCATACCTCTGGAAATGGATCAGATGGTACATATAAACATAATGGCGGTGAAACTTTGCGTAACGCGCAAATACAGGCAGTCAAATGTAATACGACAGTGCAATCCTTCCCGCCATTGAAACTTAGAAAAATTTCATTTGCGTTATACCTATAAAAAAATATATTACAAATATTTAGATTGTTGGGTGATTGTTCGTAATACTTGCAATAATAAACTTACTTGTCGTAACATTGTTTCAAAACGACAATCGCATTCTGTACATATTCTTCTTTACTATTATTAATAATCAGCTCCGCTTGTTCTATACAAAATCTTTCTCTTGTGCTCCGAGCGATGTCCATTGGTATACATGAAATTAACTTTTTCTTCGCTTCCGTAACATCACTTTCAAGTCCTTCAAATGTAATTCTTACGAAAGGATTTGCGATACTTGATTCTCCTTGGGGATAACTTCCTATATTCACTTTACCTTCCCAACGTCGTACTTGTTCGTCCAATATTTTAACTAACGATAACTCGTCTGATTCAATATCGACATAATCAAAATATAATGGATTGCCTTTACTCAACTTAGGCATAATTGTATCTACTGCAGGCTTAAAATATTTTGGAGAACCAGGAAGAATATATATATTCGATGTCTTGATCACTGCATAATCTTCTAAAAAAGATCGTACGTATTTTACACTTTCCAATCTGTTACTACTTGACTAATAAATTCACAACAAGTGATACCTACCAGTTGAATTAACATAGATAAGCTCACAAGGACTCGGTACTATAGATAAACGTTCTAGTTCTGTCTTTCCAGAAAGTAATCGTTTGTAAAAATTCAATAACTCTTGATGAACCTCTAACTTTATTTCCAATGCTTTTACAATACCTTCATAGGTAACATCGTCGTGCGTAGGGCCAACTCCGCCAGATGTAAATACAATGGAATATTTTTTTGATGCGTCAGATACTTCTTGTGCAATTTCTTCTACCTATTACAAAAACCTAAAAGTAGTTAAATTGCTTATAACGTATGAAAAGCACATATGAGTTATTATAGATCGACGATATTATGTTAGAAAATAAAAAATAACACTTATAGTGAATGAAATGAAATTTTTTGATTACTTAATGCTCTTTATGTGTATACATGTATATAAAAAAAAAATTTTATTTATATAAAATATATATAAAAAATTCTTTGATACACACTATGTCAGGTACCACAGTTACTTTACAAAGCTTCACTCCTGTAGCTCTTAATTTTCTTGCCAAATATGATGTATTAGTATCTACGATTTGTCCGCGCAAGATTTCATCGCCAATTACGATCAGCCCTGCTGTATACACGTGCTCCATTCCAATGCAATCTCTAAGCAAATTCAGATAAGAAAAGATATGTTAACGGAAGACACCGCTTCATTATATTTACTTATGATTTATATGCATGAAAATGACAATCTATCATGGTTCTATATATTACAGGATTTGATAGGAAAGAGATAGTACAAAAAAAGAACCATATATGTTCGATTATATACACATATTCGTATATATTTATTTATTCGTACAACAAATATAACAAATATATTTTTTATTATCAGAAAGAAGTTAAAAAAATAATAAATTCTCATATTTGCATTTTTTCGACCAAGGCTGTCATTCCATTTGTTTCTACCGGCATTGAACCTTTAATTGATTTTTTATTCTCTTGCTTCTTTACTTTTCCAGTATTACTATTCTTCTTAAGGGCTGCTATGACTACTTCTTGACACAAGTCTTTCAATGTTTTGTCAGTGAGCGACTTTTTATCTTTCGTCTTTTTAGTTGTTTTGGTCGTCGATTTATTTACTTTCAAATCTAACTAATGAGAGAAATATTAACTGTTTATTTATATTTTCTTTTTGTACGATTGTTGTTATATCAAGAAATGTATTCTCACATATTAATTATAATATTTCAACTTACATTTTTCAGTTTTCTTGCCATTTTCTCGGCTTTGACTTTCAGTTTGATGCTACGCGTCGTTGGTAATTGAAATACAGTTTTGGTCTTATGCGAGCCTTTGTTGTTTTTCTTTTTCATCGTCGTTCTTTATTCTCTATAACAATTAAACAATAATCTCTATTATTTATCATTACAATTAATTACAAGAATCGGTACATTCTTCTAGTTTTGGTTTCTTCATTGCTGGCTCCTCGCCTTTAAGTATATTTTCAGTTAATAAAAACGATACACGCATCATTTCTTTCTTCGGAGAAACGTTTCTGACGTTATGCACGTCGACCAACGAGTCTTGGTACAACTTGCATCCAAGTTTATTCTCTACTAATAATATAGCGACGTTCCAAGGATTTTCATTTTTTCGTAATTTGACGAAACAGTAAAGATGTATTATAGGTGGATTAGAAGAAACTTTTTCTATTTCTTCCGGGCTGAACAAATTTGGAAATATATCTAAAAACTCGACAGCTGAAGCTGGTAAATTCATAGCTATATGTTCTTTACCAGTCATTTTATTTTCCCTCCTATTGAGAATATCAGTTTTTACAACATCTCTTAAAAAATCTCTACCATCCAAATTGAAACATTGGAAGTTACGTTTGATTTTGTTAATATCTGCATTTTTCTGTAGCCACTTGTATGATTCAGGATTTAAATCGTTAGCAAGTACTCGAACTTTTTTGCGAGCCGCAGGAATGGCAAAAGGTCCGACTCCTGCAAAGACATCATATAAGACATCGTTGTTTTCCATGAATGTCAATAAATTCATATGTTCCGTAGATAATCGTGGATTCCAATAGACTTGAGCGAAATCAAATTGATACGTTCTGCCATTTTCTTTGACTGTTGTTATGGTATTTTCATCACCAGCCAATATTTCCATAGTAAAATGACGAAATGTTGTGTCTATGTTTTTTGTCTTATTAACAACTGTACGTGCAGTTGGTATCTTGTCGAGGAAAACTTGTCCAATGATATTCTTGTAAGGCAATTGCGTATCACGCAAATTTAAATGTACTATATGTCCTATTTGACTAAATGACATGGGCGTTTCTATGTCCTCTGGAAGAATGGATTTTAATATATCCTCCGATTTCCAGTTTTCATATTTTAACGTCAGCTGAGTTTTTTCTGAATATTCGTATTGATCTTTCAATAATTTTCTGTCAGCTTCGTCGATATCTTCAAATTTTTTAACGATGTTTGGATTAAGGTAGACAATAGTATTAAGGTCATCCACATTTTGAACCGGTTTTAAAGAATGTAGCTTAAGCAAATACTTTTTTAATATAGGCATGTAATTTGGAAATTTAACTTTGCACAATTTCAACGAAGGAATCTCAATGGTAGTCGTAAATGCATCGCGGTCCAAGCATTTCATACCGCGTACCGATACTGGAGGAACCAGCAAAGAAGTCATAGTGGTTTTGTTAAAGCAATGCAGCTGGTTTACTATAGCAATGCCTCGTATAGTAACTGTGGGCCTCACCATCTACAGGATAAAACACTGCTTAACAATGTCAAAATTAATTAATTATCACAGAAAAACATTATATGAGAAAAAAATATTAATGATGAAAAATTTATTAGAAGACAATGTTAAAAGCAAACAAAAAAACATGAAAGTTACAAAAAGAATAAAATTTTGCTAGAGTATCTGATCCTGTATATTAAAATATAACCATTTATTTTCTTAAAACTATCATATAGATTTTTATTAAAATCTTTCCAAAAAAGAATTGCATAAATGTATTCTTAACAATTTTAACTTTCATTGAATCTAATAACCACATATATGGGTTACATTTCATAAATAAGAAATAAACCATGTACACAGATATTAACATATAACAATAATTATATAGTATTATTAGAATTTTATATTAACCAAAAGAAAGAATTATTTACCTCAATTAATTATTCTCGTAAATAGGTAAAAGAATAATAACGAATTCAATCACGTTGCACTAGATGAGAATGATATTAGAAGAGTTGTCACTTTACGCCCTCTAGCAGAGAAAAATAATTCATCATCTATCGATAAAGAAGTTCCCTATCACAAATGTACCGTCATCTTTCGGAAAAAAATATCAACTCCAACGCGAATGTAAACTGACTCCGATAAGAATGTACTTTCCCTTTTCTATTATTTTTTTCTTGTTTTTTTTTTTTTTTTCAAGTTGCCGCAATCGTGTGCCATTGCTAGCAGACGACGAGTAATTCTATCAGACGACGCGTCGTTACGCGGGTACTCCGTAGTCCTTTTTAAAAATAATACGAATCGGCTTACTCTCATTAAGGTAATAAAAAAGCAATAAAATCAGTAAAATCAAGGAAAATGGATGCCGAAGCGTTCTTGGATATGGCCAATCAGGTCATTAAATTAAAAATGTTTCCATACTTCGACATCGCTCATTCTTTACTTTGTGCTCTACACGTCAGAGAGGATTTGGGACCCGGTAAGTCCTAGCCTACCAGACTAAATCTAAATTTAAAGATCTCACCGAGCTTATGCCCCGAGATAGCTTCTACGGTACTCTCCAATCATTTTCACGACAAACCTGATCGTCTAACACGTTATATCATTATTTTATTATTATTACGAAAATGTTTATTAGAATTTCGTAATTTCCAAAATATTCTTTTTAATTAATCTAAACTTTTTTTTACTTGCTTTTACGTTGTTTAATACGTTGTATTTTTCATTTAATAAAAACATTACTTTATCTGTGATTTATATTTAATTACAAGATTTTATTTAATTATCTTTCAATATTATATATATTTTCGTTTTATTATTATTATTATTATTATTTATTAAAATGTATTGAAATAATAAACACGATTAATTTAAGGCAAAAGTGTATTAGATTAAATCTCGTAGCATGACTATAATTAAGTAAAGTGTCTAATTTGTGGAATCTATTTTCAGAATACTGCTATAAAGATAATATTATGTATTTTAATCTGGCATGTGTGTATGTGTGCGAAATAATCTTACATAATTATGTTAAATATTAGAGAAATTTCCAAATTTTATTTTTTTTTAATCAATTTTATGATATTAAATATACGATGTTATTTATATTTTTTAGAGTGTTTATTTAATATATAATCGATATTTTCCAATTATTTATTTGTAATTTTATTTAAAATATATTAAATAAAAATAGTCGTAGAGTTCGATCATATTGCTTGAAGATTTGATATATTATTTTTTTTATTTTTTATTAACATTATTTTTTATTATTGTTATTATTATTATTTTTTTTATTAGCAGGTAATAGTTGCGTGTCGTTTAGTAATAACATAAAATATGTGAATTTTTCTAAGTATTGTACTTAACGCCACTATGGACAAATTACATAATGTCTATGTTACCTGAATAACAGAAAATGATTTCTTAATAACTTTCGATCAAGCACGAAGGACGTCATTGTTAACGATATATATTTACTAAAAAAAAATGAAATTCAATGCAAGGAAGTCTCTGTCACATTTTCTTCTTGTGTCTAACAGCTAACGTAATTTAATACAATTTTATCCATTTTATTTTGCTCGTAATTAAATTTAAGTTTTTACAATAAATTTTCGAATTTTTATCTTATATAGAAATGATATTATTATTATTATTATATTATCGTTAGTATAGAAAAGAGTTCAATACTAATGCATATTATTATTTTTTGACACGACAGGTGCGCAAGCTTTCTCAAGAAAGCATCCATTATCATGTTGGCTCTCGACAATGCTAGTTGTATTTGCAAGCAGTATGCTTTGCAACGGATTATTAGGCGAACCAATTTTAGCACCATTAAAAAACACACCGCAAGTCATAGTCGCAACCGTTGTTTGGTTAGTATACAAAAAATGATATACCTTTATCAAAATATTCATGATTTATTCTTACTAAATATATATGTATTTTCTAGGTATATAGTATTTTATACACCATTTGATATTGGGTACAAAGTAGCTAAATTTTTGCCAGTGAAAATTGTGTGTTCTGGAATGAAGGAAATATACAGGTACATTTACAATTTTATTAACGCAAACTTAACAAATAAATAATATTTATTTCCTTCTTGTAGATGTAAAAAAATTTACGATGGAGTGACTCATGCAGGAAAACTCTATCCAAATGCATACCTCATCATGATACTAATTGGAACACTTAAAGGTACCGCTTTATTGTATTAATGATAAATTAGAAGATGTTCAAATGATCGTATTAATAATGATAATATATTTTATAGGTAACGGTGCTGGATTTACAAAACTTTTTGAACGACTCATACGTGGAGTATGGACACCTACCGCTATGGAATTTATGCAACCTAGCTTGTACGTTTCTATATTTTTGTCAATATAAATGTCATGAAATATATTGAGTATCGTAATGTTAAAATTTGATTTATATTTCAGCCCGACAAAAGCATCCATGGTTGCATCAATTATATTTGTATTAGATAAGAAAACGGCTCTTATTTCTGCTCCTCATGCACTGGTATACTTTGGCATAGTCATTTTCTTAGTTTATTTTAAGGTAAGATAAGCTTTAGGTAATATGCATTTTTTAAAGAAAAAAAATAGATATGTACTGTTGTTATTATTATTATTATTATTATAATTATTATTATTTTATATAATCTTTTTTGCAGCTATCTTCCATTTTACTTGGCATTCATGATCCATTCGTACCCTTTGAAAATCTATTCTGCGCCCTATTTCTGGGAGGGATTTGGGATTCGCTCGCTAAATTATTTGGCCGAGGTCAAGCAAAAGACGATAAAGCGGACGCTAAAAAAACAAATTAAGTATTTACGAAATATTCGAATATCCTTTCAACTGTCTCGCGTATACAGTTTTTATGGATTATTTCTTGACGCAGATGATCAATATCTGTGAGAAAGAAACAGCAAAAGGATGCGCTCGTTAAATGATAATCAAGATTAAGATAATAATTTGATTGAATTTTAGTCAAATTATGTGCATAGTCTTAACAAAAAAAAGACCTTTGACAAATCGTCAAAAAACAAAAAAGGTATACTAATTCTTAATCGTACGTGTTTTAATGTTAGTCAAACCAAAGAGAAACGGCTCGTTTTAAAAAAAAAACAGTCTGATGTAAGAACTCGATAGACTGCTAATATTAATTCTTTTTACAAATAGACGAAAAAATATTTTAAATCATCATATTAACTTATTCTTATGTGCAATGTTATTGAATATATATATAGTGTCCTGATTTTTAACTTAACTTATTAATTATTTATTTCAATTATTCGACAAACTACGTTCTATATTTTTGTCTTTTTTCTTCTTCTTTTTCTTCTTCTTCTTTTTCTTCTACATTTTCGTTCGTCTCAAACTAATGAATATTTTTAAAATAATGATTTGTTACCTGAATTGATATTTCCTATTGTATGTTCTATAATACAAACAGTAGTTTTTGTACTATTCCATATACAAGTGTAAATCTATTTAACTCCTTGCACTATAACAACGCGTAAGACTGATGATACTTATGAATTTTACGAGCCAAATATAAGAAGCATCGAATATAGTATTAACTTTGGCATATAGTTTTACACGTTAAATCATAATGCAAGGGGTTTAGAGATTATGCGCTTTTTATCATATACATATAAGTGCAAAAATTAATCTAACATATGGAGTGATTCTTATGAATATGACATATTACATATACATATATACAAAAAAAATATCTTAACAATAACTCTACTAAAGAAAACCAAATACTTCCTAGTATTGCATTCTATACAGAATTAAACGATAAGAGGAACGAGAAAACTTTTATACTACTTTGTTAAAATTTATAAACAAAAAATATGTCACATCCACGTTAAACACTTACACCCTTAAACTTCTCAAATACAATATCATGTTTATGAATAAAATAAAATGTTTGCGAATATCGTAACATGTTAATTAAAAATAATAGACAATATGTGTTGTCATTTGTATGATAATTATTATCAATATTATACGTGTATTTTATAGACGTCGTATACAATCTACGTATTTACAATTTGTCGAAGTATAGAGGACTTTATTTACGAACAAATAATATCTCAATGTTTTTAATTTTATGTACGATCATTACAAACATACGAATGACAATTACATTACGATCTATCAAATCAAAAATAAAATTTTATTTATAGAGCAGTGTATTTTATATATATATATATATAAATTTTGTTTTCTTTCATATATTTTCGTGCGTTTAGTCTGGATTAAATTTGCACTGCATTTCACAAACGATCGTACTGGTTTTCTCAATAAAACAAAACAATAATCGCAACGACTTCGAAGTAGAACTTTGTTCCTTTTGACACGAGCACGACAGTTATTTAAATTTAGTATTAAATCTAGCAATATTATTGCAATAACAATTTACAAAGTTACCAATAATGATAATATATCATTGATATGTAATAAATATCTACCAGTACTATCTATAGTAGTGCCTTAAATTTGTACACGGGGTGACTTAAGATATGTGCGTACAACTTTAGGGCTGGTTCAGTTTGCTGTGAAATAAGAAAAAAATAATTTTTCTAATCACACGCTCGATATGAACCCTCTTAAAGTAATCTCCACATATTTTGAAACACCCTATATATCCTAATTTATTATTTTACAGTTTTATTATTATAAGTTACCCAAATGGACATATAAATAATATATACATGCATATTAATATAATATTTAAATAAAATAAGTATTATATCAAGACATATATATATTATACGATAAGCGAAAATCATACAGATGCAAAAGTGAACAAAAGTTTTTAAACAAATTACACCATTATTATTAATAGCGTCATAATTTTATGATATACTATATACTATTTACCAACAAAAAAAAAAGATCTTTAACCAAATAAAAACGATATTTCTAGGTTAACTCTAATGAATTTTTCTTTTATTTTTATATGAACGATAGATCCTGTAATTTATTTATTCGATTAAATTGAAAAACAAAAGAGATTATGATTTTAAAAAAGCCGATTTAATAAATTCATACAATTTTCGAAATTTAAACAATTACGATCATTTCACGCGCCTAGAATTGTGGCTTCTTATTGGTTAAATAATGGCTACGTAATTTGCATGTGTACATACAGATAGCACTAGTTTCGATCTTCTGAATAAACGGTTATTTTTCAAAAAGTCAACGTAACTTATTTACGTTTAAATCTCGAAAGAATATTAAAATTGATTAATGGCAATGAAATATTAAATATATATATCTACGTTATTACGTAATCATAATTATCTGCTATAATACATCAGAAACTTATTAACACGAAGAAGATAATAAACAAGCACAAAGTAAACGTTCCAATTTCTAAAAAGAAACTCTAAGAGAATCGGTTGTAAAATCTTAGGAAGAATATTTTCTCACGGTAAAATGTCGTGAGAAAGTTATTTGCTCGACAGGTCATACCTGAGAAAAAGGAAAATCTTTGACTTCGTCAGGTTGAGAATCAAGTATTGGTGTTACGTAAAAATAACCGTACATAGAAAGAAAACGTAATTATAGAGAATATTATTTGTACGAATGCAAGAGTACCACTTACTTACATATTCTTATATACAATGCGAATTTTTCATGCATTGACATTTCATATGACTTATAGAAAACTAATATTAGATTACATTTATATACAGCTATCTAACATTAAAGAATAAAAATAAAAATGAGGAGAAGAAATATTAAGATAACCATAAGGAAAGTGATAATTTCGTAGGATGACAAACAACAAAACAAATAGGATACATGATGGCATCATTTAGTAGAGTATGCTAATACATCCCAATATTAGACATTTTCTTTTTTCTTTGTCTGGTTTCGTTTTGACCTCTCTAGTTTCATTCTCCTACCTCCCTCCTCCTTTCTCTTTCTCTCTCTCATTCTAATTCTGCTCCCGTCCCTCCTTTTCCACCAAGCAGTTTCTCTTTCCTTTCTCTTTTTCCAATCTTGTATCTTTCTCCCTCTCTAAAACTTTTCGTAACTACTCCCTCCACTTTAATGCCTACTTGCAGTAGGACAAGACGCAGGCAAGTTTAAACCTCTGTCCACTCTCTGTTATCAATCAGAAGAAATATGCGGTGCTACCTGTTCAATCCGAGATGCTTGCTGTTTATCACCGCATTCATTGCATTTTCCAATGATGTGACTTTGGTATGTATTAATTATAAGATTTCTTTTAATATATATGATTTTTTCATATATTTAAATTTAATATTTAAATTGTTATAAGTATTGTAATTATATCCGTTGAAAAATAATCCCTTTAAATATTTGATTTTATTATGTTCTCTAAAGTAAAGTAGCACATGACTATATAAAATTCATTGATCTTACTTTGTACGTATTCTCAGGTATCCGGCGATGAATTAGTACCAACACTCGTAAATGTTCATGTTTACTACGAATCACTATGCGGTGATAGTATGAGATGGATAAGGGATCAACTCGTACCCAGTTATACGTCCTTGAAGAAATATCTTAAGATTACTCTCATTCCGTACGGTAAAGCAACGGTAAGCGATAACGAGGAAATCTTTTATTTCTAACATTCCTTTGTGATATACCCTAAATAACAAGAGACAATATTTAAACGATTTATATTTTTTTCGTATAGTTAAAAATGATTTTTTCGTTTTTAAATATGTTTAATTTCTAAATGTGCTCTGTATAATATACACAAATTTAGATTAAAACATTTATATAATAATGCAAAATTATTTTTTCGCAAATGAAAATAATAATATAATATTATCGATAATTATCTTATCGCTTTAAAAAGATGAAGGTCATCGAATGTTGGATCAATTTCACTCATCGATTGACTTATCGACTATCTCAAATATAACATTTAGCAAACACGCGAGTCCGAAACCGGTCTATGGCATTTTTCGTGCCAACACGGATCTTCCGAATGCCTTGGTAACAAAGCACAAGCCTGTGCTATTCATGCCATAGAATCTGATTATCAAGAAAATGAACGACAAGGTCAAATAGTTAATCTAATCGGTTGTACTATGAGCGATAGATATCCACCAAGTGCTGTTGAAACTGTAAGTTCAATTTTAGTCTTTTTATTTTTACTATTATTATCCTATTTTAATTATAATTCATTACTTGATTGATTGTACGGTAATAATTTTTCATTTCATTTCATTAAATATCCAATTACTATGTCAATCAATTAATTAATTGTCATTAATTAGCTTTCCTACAAATTACACGAATTAATTAGTATGAATGCTTAATTAATATCTTCAAATAAATAATTAGATGTTATTAATATTTAATAAGTACTGTATGATGTAAATAAAATAAAATGTTTTAATTGATAAAATACAAATATTTCATTTATTCTATCTTCAGTGCGCAACGAAACAAAATTTGAAGGAAGAAACGCGTACGCGTATATCAGAATGTATTAAAAGTTCTTTAGCAGACGATTTGCTTGCTGCTAACGGTGATAAAACGTGGGCTCTCAATCCACCGCTTTCATTCGTTCCAACGATAATAATTAATGGAGTAAGTATAGCAATCATTATGATTTACATTTTTTATCCAAATATCACATAAACATATATCCTATATCGTATGAATTTTGTCAACAGGTTTACTCGAAAGAAAATCAAAATCTCGCGTTGAACAATTTCGCGCAATTAATTTGCAGCCTTTTATCCGATAATGAAAAAATTTCGACTTGTTCGACGTTGTAAGTTAAAAAACACAAAAATATAAAGAAAAAAAAAAACAGAAAATACTTACATACAGTTAAGTTTTCATGTACGATGGAAATAACAGAAAAAAGATGTAATTAAAGTTAAACAGATATCATTGTTGTAATATTCAATATTGTATACGCATATTATTATGTATTTTTATTTTTCGTAAGATATATATATATATATCTACATACAAGTACACCTATGTACAAAAATATATACGATCTTTTTTTTCTAATATACAGGATGAGATAAAAAAAATCCCTTTTCCCTCTTTTAAAAATTAATTATTACAACTTTTGTGCTTTAATTATGTTTTCATCAAATATTACAACACAAAAGCTCATTCTTCCTTGGTTAACTTCATTCATTTTGATAACGATTAAAAAATTATATTAAAATATCAGCTATATTCTAGCTATAATTTGTACAGCTGTGCAAAGTACGAACAAATTACTTACATAAACGAATCTCTGGAGAAAGCGACGTTTATCTCGTCTTGTATATATACGACGAAAAATTATATACGTTATTATTATTATTATTAGTATTAATACTATTACTACTGCTATTATATTATTAAAAAATAATGATAATAATAAAAAGAAAAACAAAAGTCTTTGGTAAATGCGGCACGAAATCGGGTTTGTGCAAATACGCGTGTTTGCTTTTATACAACAATAATAATAATAATAAAATAAAATAAAAAGATCTTTTGTTATATATATATATATATCAATATAAAAAAATACAATTATATTAAAAAATAAAATATGAAACATTAAACGTCGATAAATACGGTATCGTTGAGATTACTCAATTCAAGAAATTCTTGTTCTATGTCAGAACCAAGTTCTTGAAAATCAGGAACGTAGTCGATCGTACCATATCCTGTAAATAAAATCATAACTATATAGGTTTAACATTAAACATAAACGATAGAAAAATAATTCATGCACCCTAAGTAAAATTGTATGTAAATTTGGAAGTTAAATCGATCGATTAAAACATCGATCCACGTTGGTTTTTTTCTTCTTTTTCTTTTCTTTCTTTTTTTTCTTTTTTGTTGATATACCAAGAAGATAAAGCATCGAATTCTAAAAGTACACGCGTGTGTTACACGTGTCCATTATGTGGACCGTTTTGGCGCGTGCGTGAGCGTACGTTCTTAGGGTTGGACAAAAAAGTGAAGAATATTATTTTAAGACTCGGTGTGGGGTACACAAGTATAAAGCGGCAAACCTCCTCTGAGATTAAATATGAACGACCGAGCAAGCGTGCTGCACCAGTGTTATTGTCATCGTCTTATTGTTAGTCGTTGTCGTTGTCGTGTCGTCATCATCTTACTTAGCCGTTAACGTCATTCCGCGTATATGTTATTTTTTACCAATCAAAAGGAATCACGAGCACGTGCCATAAGTCTTACCATTAAACACATCCTTACGAATATAATCTTTTTTCTTCTTCTTTTTTTTTGGTTTTTTTTTTTTTTAACAATATAAATATAAATATAATATCAATCAATGAATTTATATATGTTAAAACGAATACATAAAAAATCTTACCGCCAGTATTGTTACAATCATTTTGAGTATTATTTATGTCTTCGATGAGAAAACGTTTCATGTATTCTATCGGCACATATTCTTGATGATTGCTATCAAAAGAAACGGAAGGTATTCTTTCACTTTCGTACAAATTAGTATAAAGTAAATCAATGTCATCATCTCGACAAGATTCCGAATTTTTGAATGATCTGTAATTTGTTGAGATTGGCGAACTGCTTGCTTGTCGTATTTGATGTACTTTTGCTACGTCAAACGTTGTCTCTTTACGATGTTCCGTAATTGCGTTCGATGAATTATTATAACCAATAGATATTTTATTATCCAACGTGGTCGTTGGTAATGTCAATAATGGGGTTGTTGGTTCCGCGTGATTTTTTGCATGTTTTCTTAAACTCGATGGATCCGTGTAACGTTTACCACATCCACTTACTTGACAAGCGTAAGGTTTCTATAATGAAGTATATTAAATGTAATTATGGTTACAATTTAAGGTATTTTTTGTTATAGGGTAGAAAATGTAATACCATAATATATGGTGCCCATTGCTATGAAAGTACCATAGTGTATGGTACATACTACTAAAAAGATACCGTAACATATGATAATTAGATGATACACATATATACTTGACTATATGTATATCTTTCTAATTGTAAAAGATTAATATAAATATCGTACCGTATCATAATGAGTCCTCTGATGTTTAGCTCGATCGCTACTATTACTGAAAGCTTTCGAGCAACCACGATGCTGACACGCGTAAGGTTTCTCGCCAGTATGCGATCTTTGATGAATTTTCAAATTTTCAAGTCGAGAAAATGCTTTTTTACAACCAGCAAACTGCAATAATAATTTTCTAATGGTAAGTAAACGAGTAATAAATACATTTTAATTAGATTCAACATGATAAAATAATAATAATTATATATATATAAAGAGAGAGAGAGAGAAAATGCATTTACGTTTGTGTGTTTAAACTTACAGGACATTTATTTGGCTTCTCCCCACTGTGCACTCGCATATGTATGAGTAATTTGTACCTAGCGTTGAATGGTCTAGCACGAGGACAACCTTGCCAAAGACAAGCAAATTCATCTTGACCAGTTGTCGCTGCACTCGTTTGTCCTAAGAATGAATTGTCACCGTCTCTGTCCTTTTCCTTGTCTCTGTCCCTCTGTACACGTCGTCCGTGACCATGTGCGTTAGAAGAGGATGATTCTACGTGCCGCCTCTCTATATGTCTCACGAGACTTTCTTGTTCCGTAAATGCACTTCCACAATCTATCCATCGACATTGGTAAGTCGACGTAAAATTATTTTCTTCTACCAAAGTCCCACGATCTAGTAAATAAATTCATTATTTATAATTAATGTAATATATCTCCCCACCCCCCTCCATTTGTGTATTAAATGAAATATTAAATATTACAAATGCAATGATCACTTTTTAAGAAAATAAAAAAATAGATGACTAACCGTAGGATGATCTGTCGTTAACTTCGTTCTTCGATATTACGTCAGATCTTGGTACACGTTGATCGGCAAGAAGCAATCCTTCGTTTTGCGGTAAGACCACCTGATTACCAAAATTTTCTTTAACCACATTTTCCTGATTAAAGTTCGCCGAGGACAACGTACTCGATTGCGAAGACACCAAATGACCAACAGCATAACAAAGCCCATCAACGTTTTGAAACGGATCTTGTAATTCTTCCAAATAAGTTGAAGCCGAAGATGACGATGAATCAACGTTGGCCAGCAAAGAAGTTGGATCACCTCGGATCAAACTCAAATCAAATTCATTTGTAGCAATTTGCATGGCGTTACCAAATTCTTGAAACTCTTCGTTCTGATGATGTGGACTGATCGAGTTAATTAAATTCGTGCTTGTTGTCTCTTGATAATCCTGATAATCCTGATAATCAGGATATACGAAAGCTCGTGAAAATGAGAATGCCGTTCCCACCGATGGCAATCTTTGCCTTCCATTAGTTTTGTCTTCATAATAATCACCATTTCTCGTAATCTCGTTGGCCCAATTGTTTACTTCGTTACTATTGTTATTGCTCAATGAGTCCGAACGTTGATCGGAATATTGTATCGCAACGGATAATTCTTCCCAATCATTTTTCTTATTGCAAGAATTAACGGAATTAGATAAAAATGGCGAGGATGATCCAATATTATTATCCACTTGCGAGGAATGATGATTAGTAGTAGCAGTAGCATTAGTAGTAGTCGTAGTAGTAGTAGTAGTAGTACTAATAGTGGTCCAACAAGATTCTCGTGTGCTTCCAATAACGTTCATCGTAGATCTTATCAATGGAGACGACGAATCAAGAAGATATTCTTCTTGATCGATCCTGTTGATCGAATAAACACGTTGTTGCCTCGCGTTTTCCCCGTTCTTGCCTTCTACGACGAGATAATCCTGTAGGTGCATATCTGCACGAGACACTTATTTTCTCTTTTTCTTTTTCTTCAAGATGTCACAACGACAATGCATCCGATCATAGCGCGCGCGCGCGCGCGCGATATATTGTATTTCGTAATAATTTTTAATCTACGATTTTGTAATGTACAGCGTGTCTCTTGTTGTTAATAATGTATATAGTTGTCATCGAACAGCGAAAACAAAGATTAGAGTACACTTACTTGTAAAAGTCGCGTTAAAACACACCACCCGTTTTATATTTTAATATCACCGCTATTTTGCGCCACCGTCGTCGAGTTGACGAGATATGATAAATGGAAATTTTGCGAGCACTAACGTCTTCTCGATTGATTATTCCTTAGTTTTTCATCTATTTGTATTACAAAACGCATACTCGCTTGAGATATTTTCTATTTATCTATTTATCTATCTATGTATCTCACTTTATTTCGTTCTTTCTCTCTCTTTCTCTTTTTATCTATCACTATATTTTTCCATAAATAAATGAAACGAAAAGGAATGAAACGATGAAAAAAGATGATGCAAATGATTAATTCAAGAAAAAGAAGAAGAAGTAGAAGTAAAAGAAGCAACAACAAAAAAATAGGGATGATAGCTCGTGCAAACGCAGCAGTCAGTGTTTGACCCTGAATTGATAAGAAACGATCGGCGTAACGTTTGTCGAGTATTTCTACTCTTTCTCGCGTCTGCAAGAAGACTATCAAGGACTGAACGAGAAGATACTACCGCATTTTTACACCAAACCTAAAGTATCCCCTCTCTTTACTATTCTCTCTTCCTTCGGGATTTCTTCTTCTTCTTCTTCCTCTTCTTCTTCTTCTTCTTCTTCTTCTTCTCCCCCGCTTCTTCTAAAGACGATAAGGAAAGAACCCTCGAGAGGATACGACAACTACCGCAAGAAGAAATCCTAAGCACCGCCTACTCGCGTGGCTGTTGCAAGCTTATACGAGAAACTTGCTAGAACGTGCACACACGTTCTATGCACTTGTCCCTTTGAAATCCTCTCTATTATTTCATATTCATTTTTATAAGTCATTATTTTGATTTTTTTCATTAACGATATATGTTGACGATGGTACATATTATAGTGCAACCCTGGTCCAACTGGCGACATGCGAAGCAAATCAATTTTTTTCTTTTTTAAATAAAAATTTAAATAAACATCTATGAGACAAAGAAAATTAATAATTCAAATTAAAAGAAATATATTTTATACGGACAATATTTATAAAAGCCGCCGGCATTCTTAAACTTACGTATGACACTAATTTTTGACGTGACGTTAATTGACTTATTCAATATCTATCTTTCTTTCGCAAATGTAATAAAAAATCATTTTATCTTTCGAAAAATACATCTCGGAAACTGTTAATAACTTTTCCAAAACGATTGAAATGATTTATAACAATGTTTTTCCCTATTTATTTCCGAGATACCTGTAAACACTCGAAACAGTTACAGCTCGGTCGTCATTGTAAGCAAGTCAGATTCGACACGTGCCTCTTCGGACGAAATCATTTTGAGAAGTTTTTATCTTAAAATAATATTCTTACATTATTCCTAATAATAATTATTAATTATAAATTATCATCGTTCGTTCGTCGAATTGTGTTCTTTTTCTCTCTCATCGTTTTCTATTACTTCGTTATCAAATCAAAAGTGAATTTTTCATAAACAACCGAGATTTATTTTCTACCTTTTATTTAATATTAAAAATTAATTATTTATTAAATATATATATATATATATTTTTTGTTCACAAAGCATTACTTGAATTCTCATCGTCGTTGACGATAAGAGACAATCGAAAATCTATGTTTAAACGGTTTATTAATTGTCAACAAGTTTATTAATGTTCATTTAATTCAAATTTCTATGAAACAATTGTATAAGCCATCAAATACGAAATAATTTTTTTATGGAATTACATACTTACACGGACACACTCGAAGGACATACATGAAACACGAAAGATAAGAAGTGTCAACGATCTAAAAGAATTTTGAATATAGAGGAGACTTAATAGTTCACATACATGGGTGACTAGATGACTAGATGTGCGGTGGATGAACTAATTTCGAGAAAATAGAGAACTCTAAGAAAAACAGAGAGAAAGTAAAGGAGGGAGGGATGAAAAGAGGGTGCTCAGGATGATCTTTCGTCGCTCGAGCCCCAAGAATCGGGTGGAGAACAAAAAAATGTCAAACCAGCTGCCGCACACGCGTCGCTTATTAACAACAGCTTCTTCGCGCGCGCACATGAGGATATGTCGTTCACTCTTCTCGCTTATGTTACTGCCTACTATTATTTCATGGGCATTACCCCCCTCCTGCCCCCTCCTCACTCTCTCTCTCTCTCTCTTTCTACATATTTTTTACAATGATTTTTATATAAATAATGAATAACGAATGAATATTAAAGTATTTAGAAAAATGTTTGATTGTGTTTCTAAAACGTCTACTGTTATTACTACATTACTATTAAATTATTGTACATACAAAGTATCTATAACATATAATTATATAATGTTTTATAGAGGACTGTATAATTAATATGTAGCCCATAATTTTATATTACACGTTATTAATATTTATATATATATATACCATTATACCGTACTATTATTTATACCAGTAGATTAATTATAAATAAAAAAAATCAATTGAAAACATTTGTTACATAGAGTTCACTGTTATAATTATATTGGCACCCCTATACAACAATATAATAAGAGAAGATTTTTTAAAAGCAATGTAATATTTTATATATATGTATATGTAATTGTAAAACATTAAATCGATCATCGTCCCCATATATAAGGACATTCCCTGCACCCAAGCATACATCTTAGAGTTGCATCTTACAGTTGCTTATACGTCATATTACGGGTAGATAAGTGATAGAGTGGCACATATGGTGTGCCAGCCCTCTATGCTTACATTATATACATACACTATGCTCTCTCTTTCTCTTTCTCTCTCTCTCTTTCTCTCTCGGCCGTACTTTTTTGTCAAGGCACCTGTCAACCTCGTCCAGAGCATAGTCACCGCATGTGTGTACGGTCCCTTCTTAAGTAAACATACTAAAAAAAAAGGATTCTGATCTTGCAACGCATACGGACGCAATAACTTAGGAAATGCATTGAAAAAGAAATAAAAAGCAAAACAGAAAAGAGCTGAATAAAAAAATAAAAAGAAAATCAAATAAAATAAAACACACACACGCACACACGCATACACGCGACATACACGTACAAAATTATTTAATTGTTTTGCAAAAAGGTATTACAATTATGAAATATAGAATAATTTTGTTTGAAAAATATATTTGTATGTATGTAAAATTTGTTATGTTATATTAAAGTGTAGAATTTATTTATCGTATTATTATTATTATTATTATTATATTTTAAATTAAATTAAAAAATAAAGTAATTACTTATCATTTATTATCGCGATTGCATCATTGCATAGGAATAGTATGTACATCCATAAATCGGACGACATATAATATGTATTGAAAATAGCTAGAGATACATAACATTCTGTCGGGTTATATAGCATTCGGTCAAGCAACGTAAAAATAGAAAGACGTGCGCTCTGCATGTGACTTCGTATAATTAGGTACCAAACTCGAGAACTTGTATGTCCTATACGTTGCTCGTGTAGCAGCATGTTTGAGACCCTAGCATTGGATCGCGTTTTCTTATTTCTTTTTTTCTCTCTCTTTTCGTTCTTTTTTTTTAAAGAAGATTTTTTCAGTTTCTTCTTTTTTTCATTTCTCCGACATTAATGACGAGTCAAAGACCGATAGAAAAATGATGTAATTTTGACTTTATGCTTTTCCATCGTAACTATGAACGATAGGAAAGTGTTGTATACGTCCGCTATTCCAGGCAATAGTTAAACAAACTGTCGAATTTTCGGTAAGACATTTTTGATAAAAATTCATACAATTCGGCAATTCTCCGGGTAAACCTTTAATGAAAGTAAATGGTTTAACTTCGATCGCTTTGCCCAAATTACATATTTTCGTTTTTATCAAAGCAATCAATGGACTGTTCTGTAAACAAAATCGAAGAAAAAAATAATTGATTATTTTTGAGAGGTCGGCAATATTTATTCTCTTTCTTAATATACAATTTTATTTGAATATTTACCTGAAAGAGAACGGCAAGATATTGACCCATAGAATCCCATTCCATTGCTACTATTTTACCACCAACTCTAACGGAAGTTTCATTTGTATTAGTAAAAGTGACTTCGGCTAAATTGATTATAGGGATTGCTACAGTGATGTCATCCACCGAAGATTTAGTATCAAAAATATTTCCTTCGAGTGGTAATGAATAAATAACAGGATCGTCGCTTGACGCAAATATCAATGCTAAGTTTGGTCCAAAACAAGCAACTGCTATGCGTCCGGACGGTACGGTCCATCTTTCTGTGTACCATGGCTTTGGAGTATCAGTATGCCAAACTCTGAATAGAAATAAATCAATGATACAAACTGATTCATTATAAAACATATAATTATTAGTTATTGATAATACGACTTACCTAAAAATGTTTTTACATGTAGCTGAAAATAAACGACTTCCACAAAGAGACCAACGTACAAGACATAATCCACCGCCAGCTACTCGCTTTATTGGCACACCTTCTTCTTTGGAAACATCCCATACAATCATATTGTGATCATTCGGTGAAATAGATACCAATAGATTACCCTTAAATAAATGAGTATAATTAAATCATCTAATATTATGACAGATTTACTTTTTTAAATAGAAAACTTAAAACATTTTATATTAACACCTGTGGGTGCCAGGCTATGCTGGTAACAGGAGTATGATTTCTTCGCTTCAATAACACAGCATAACTTAACATATTACTAGCAGCACCCAATTCGATTGTCCAAACTAAAGCACCTTGGTGACACGCTGCGGCTAATACTTTTCCAGCATTAGGACACCAACTTAACTGATAAATGTACTTTTGAGCGCTATGTCGCAAAACTGGTATCACAGATATGCCTTCTGAAAATATACGTATTCTATCATCTCTTGTTGCAACTGCTAAGCGGGTACAATGCGGATGCCACGATATGCAACGCACCTAAAAATAAGTAAAAATAACAAAATTTCTTCTTTTTCTATTTTATAATAATATTATAAAGTTATTCCAATAGAGTCATACAATAGAGTTATTCCAATCACGTGTAGGAACTACATCAGTAATGGATCCTGATCCAGTGGCTAGTAAAGCTTCCGTTTGAAAAATACCTTTTTCTACGGTGTCTAAAGCCCACGTGAGACTATTAAATCAAAATATTCAAACTATTAAGATATGTTTATTTTTATCGATAATAATTCAATAACATTAAAAATACATTTACATCCATACTTTACAGCTATCCAATGTATTACGTTTGTTACATTATCCGAATCCTCAGATGCAGCATAACGTAAAGCTTCTGTAAATCCTTTTTCCCTCCACATGCTTATAAGCTTTTTAAAGATACTGTCTTGAACCGGTTGGAATAAAAAACCATTGTTCATAGCACGAATAGATTCACATGTACCAAGCATATCGCTGGTAATAGTAACTACTGGGTACTTGCGTAGATGTTCGTAAAGAGGATGCATTTCATGGTGCATCTCTAAATGACTGTTGTATATAACATCATCAGATTTAATACCAGCAGTGGCCAGTTGCATATGTGATGGTGATGGAAAATCGTCCAAAGACAATATCTTAATCATTTTTAAAAATTCTTGTTGCTGTGCGACAGAGTTTAATGCTATAACCTATAAATTATAAAACCAAATCAAATTCTAAACAATTTCTTAGAAGTGTTATAATATAATAAATCATAATATAATTTACAAAATATAATGCGTTAAGGTTAACTTACTTGTTCTTCTCGTCAATTTGATTGATGACGCGCGCGAATCTGCACAAAAAGAAAAACAATTAATATAATTAATAATATATAGTTATTAGTACACAACATTTGTGATAAAAAGAAACAAGAATTTTTGTCGAATAATGTCACGATTATTTTGCATAAAATAATTATAATGAATACTTATATATCTTTAAAGATAGATTACCTCAAAGGTATTTATTAACTCTTTCGTTACGCCATGTTTAAGTGTATAATAAGTATGTTACCGATTGCTAACAAGAAATGAATTTATTTAAAAGAAAAAAAAAAGAATTGATTCCGACTATTATCGACCGTGCACTTAAACAAATTTTCTAATTACCGACGGTGCAAAAACGTCATCTTAAATTAAGGAACGAATATAATAAAAGATTCGTTTAAGATGTTGAACGGAGATCTTTTTGTTTAAAAATTATAGACCGACATGAACTTTTAAAAGGTTTAACAACATTTGAACTGCTTTGCGATTCATTAATAAAAAATCTGATAAATGTTCGTCGGAGGTTATCGATTGTATCAAAACAATCTCAGACAATGATGTTCAAGATTTTTCAATTATATTATTTTACAAATATCATTAAAGAATTATATACTCGACAATATACACCCCCAAGCTTGCTCATAGTATATATCTATGCGTATCAATTGCTAAATACGAAAATATTTTATAATACAAGTTAATAGCTATAGAAACAATAATGGCTTTGTGCTATTTAGGTAATTCTTCCAACGAGTCTGATATCGTCTTGGTATATTAAGTATCAAATACAATAATGTTATTGTTGCTAGGTATCACTAATGGTTGCATTTCTTATGAAATTGTTGCTTTGACGAAATGTCTTAGTATTTCTACAAAAGTATAAATTACACACGACAAAACGTTCAATTTGAATTTCTTGAAGGTAGCGTACATATGTATTTCATTAAATTATACGTTTTTGTATATTTCTTTATTTTTGTTCAATATATGAATTTTATACATTGTTATTTTACATTCTTTCAAAGTACAGAAAATGCAATGCCAAATAAATATCTACAAAATGTGAGAACAATAATTACATATATTAAATAAAAAATTCTATTCAAACGCAAATAGAGATAATGAAAAGTTGTTAAAAAGGTGAGATTATCAAATAAATACGTTTATACTCGACAATTTGCACGGGAAACTTGCACGACGAAGAATATTATTTTTCCATAATGTCTAAAAATCTTCTAGAATCATATAAGTGTTGATTTACATTTTCTAGTCATAAATAACTATTACATACATATAGAATTCACCCTGCTATCTTGACTGCGGAGTGTGGCAATTAGTGGAATGTGCTCAAACAGAAATGAAATAATAATAATGGTTAACAAAAGCAATGTGAATGTTAAATACTTGATGGTATAATAAATAAGATATTTGTTCTAAAGGTACAAGAGTATATGCACGCATAAATATAAAGTTATTTTTAAACAAACAAACAAAAAACAACAACATAATCCTAAGCATGCAAGTTGTTTGAGATAATCTTTCACGGTCCTATTAAAATATATTAAATTGTATATTTTTGAATAGATTAAAAATGTTTAAAAGAAAACTATCTAATCTGCGCGCCTTGTACCAATAAAGACATAAATTCCTATAGCATCAGTATTAAAAATTTCGGGATGGATAACAAAGCTAATTCATTTACTTTGTATTATAGTTAACTATTTATAAAACAGTTGTTATTTTTACAAATCATTAGCAAAAACTTTGCTTATAGCAATAAAATACTCAACAAAGTTACGCGTTAATTTTCTATTAAAATCGGTGCTCTATCATTTCCATGCCTGCTTCTGAGCCTTCTGCGATGCTAATTTCTTCGTCACGTACGACGAAATTAATAATGCTGCTAATACTATTACAATAAGATAATAGTCAAAGTCTTCTTTTAACACATCGAACGTCTTAGACGGTGCCACTCGTGTGTAGAATATATCTATTAAAAATGTAACATTAAATGAATATCTTATTAAAAAAGTGTGCATCTCTTTGTAACTTACCTAATCCATGTACAAAAACTAAACAGGTACTCTCAAGACCGCTAGGACTAGTATGAATACCTAATACTCTGAATATACTCTGATTATAATTTATAATAGTATCCATATGAATAGGTATTTCAGGCATATATGGTATGACACCTTCTTCACGCATTTCAGGATTAATGGGTCGTCTTGGATCTACCATCATCCATGGTAACTCTATAATTCCACCATTTGCTAGGGAAACTGTTAAACGTGATTAGAATTTATGAATAGATGAGGGATATTATATTTCTTCTATGTCAAGTTATCATGTTATAATAAACAACATACCTATAATATGTTTACTGGTAATACCTTTCTCCGTAATAGTCTCTCTCATATATTCTATCGATGCTGGGAAAATGAATGCTTGTCTTTCTACGATTGGTGATTTGGTTGTAGCCAAAGAAGAGAACACTGTAAAATAATAATATTAATAATAATATCAATATAATATGTTACAAATGAATGCATATTTGTTACTTGGTTTACCTGTCACATTACTCTGTATTTTTCCTTCGTAAAGTTCCAAAGTTGCAATTTCAGTTCTTCGACTTTTTTCATTAAAATAACTATAGATCAACCAATTCTCAGAATGTACTATATGAAACGGACCACGAACTCTTTTATGTACGATGGAAAATATCATGGCACCCGATACTACATCCAACAAATAAATGTTGAGGGTATCTAAATGATGAAAAAAAAGAAACTAAGTAATATTTCGTATAGTTTTGAGTTAATCGATTCGTTACATAATACGTAATATATAATATGAAAAAAAAATTTTTCAAGTAAGAGTATTATCATATTTTTCTAATATACTTACTTTTGTGAGTATTTCCAACGCCTTCCGATGCAACTGCTACTAAATTAGGATTAATATATTTATACAGGACAGATCTATCACTTAAAACTCGACCTTGAGAGTGAACACGTTCGATTGGACTTTTGGAGACAACTTGTACTATTTTTTGATTTTTTGGAGAGAGTAATAATTCCCAAACTTTATGAGCTACTAACTCCTAAAAAAAAAAATTCAAAGTTATTATTTGTTAATTATTTAGTTATTCTATTAAATGATTCATTAATTCAAGACCTGAGATGTACTGTAAGAAAGAGAAAATCCAGATAACAAGCCAGTAGTTTGATCTGCTGTAAATATATAAGTATTCTTTCCCAGAGAAGCTGCAATAGCGGTCGCACTTTTGGGATACACATGAATCTTATCTCGTGCATCAAGTATAAGAACTGCTCTTAGAAAATCATCCGTTGTCACATGAAGCAACATAGATTGTTTTATTCTATATCCTAATTTTATCAAACCGTCTAAAGGTTGTCCAGTAATTGGATTGAATGTGTATATAATACCTTCACCAGATACCTAAGATACAATGAAATTCTAATTATTAATGGAAATTAATCGAGATGATATTAATTTTTGAAAATGTAAATAACACGATACTTTATCTTCCGCTAGTAACGCGCACTGAGGTGGATAGGGAAAATGCCTACTTCCTCGTTGTACATATAAAACCATTGCATTTGATATTTTGTTAAATCCACGAATATTAGGTATTTTAAGTTGCCAAATAATTTCACCTTTTCTAGTTTCAATACCAAAGATCTGTAAAGAAAATGTATATATAAATCATACTTTGTGCGCGATAATATTGTTAAATTACATATAGAAATAATAATCTGTTGTATTTTTGTCTATACCTTTCCAGCGGATGTGACAGCAACAATCATTTTATGCAGACTGAATTTATCTCGTACCAAGTCAGTTCGCTGATTAGATTGTTGTGGGACCAAGTCTAACATGGATTGTATAAAAGCTTTTGCTTGATTAAATTGAGAAACAATTCTTCTTAGCATCATACTCAATACATCCCCTGGGTATATATATATATATATAAATAAAAAAAAACAGAAACGAATTATTAGAGATAAATAAAAAATAAAACAAAATATGTTATTAATATCTATTTATCGCGATTGCTTTATAGTATCATTATTTGAATCATATTATAAAAGAAATGAGCATACAGCAGGTATCTTAAAAATTACGATTTATCCGTAAGTAGGCGTAATCAAAATTAACGGAAGAGAGCAGTCACAGTTTTTTAATTATACATGCATAACATTTGGTAAACTATATATGCTAAAAGAAATTAGATTTTTATAATACAGTGCATAAAATGATCATAAACTTGTCCTTTAAAGCATTCATAAAGGAACACATTTACATTTCGGCAGGTTAATGTTATTATAATACTTCTATTGTAGGTATATACTGCTAAATCATGCAAATATAAATTTTGTAGATAGCAGTAAGAAAAATGTTTGTCAAATTAGTTTTCCCTGCTCCACTACTTACATGAAATGTCTACATCAATACCTGCCAGCAGCCATTCACAAAAGAAAAATTAATTAATATAACTTAAGAAATATGTTATTTATCATAAATTAATTGCCACTAAATAGTATCAATTAATCACGACAATTATAAACAGTTGCAATAGCAAGCTTTTCTGAAGAACTTTCTAAAAAGTAATAACAGTATAAAAAATCTCAAAAGTAGATGTATCATAAGCATTATCAATCCATTATCAGTATATACATTTAAACGGCGTTAATACTGATACTTTTCCAACTCGATACAACAGGCACAAAAATAAATAAACAAACTGTAAATAAAAAAAAAAAAAATAAAAAAAAAACTATCATTTATTGAGAAAACCTGTTGCGTCTTATACCGTGTAATATATTTATATTTTTATCATTTTTCTTCTGTAATATTATTGACAGAAAGGACGCATATGCAAACAAAGTGCAATTGCGCTTTGTGACTTAAACTTGAATATTTGTTATATTTGTAAGACAAAATTATACATACTTTCTTTCTGATCAAACTCTGTTTCGATGGCTTGATCCCTGTCTGACATGGGTAATTCTATAATTTCAACGGCTACAATTTTTGCAAGGGCCTCTTCCCTTGCCCATACTAATTTGTTATGCTGCAATAATGCAATAGTATGATCTTGCGAAGACAACAAATGACGGCATGTTAATCCTTTTGTCTGATGCATACAAATCGATGCCACTATTACAGGTGATAACAAGGAAACATGGGGAAGAGTTCCTGTTATATTTGGTAGAGAATCCAATGTTAGCAGATCCGTTGCTACAACTTCTGTAATCTGAATTATAGACATATTAATTATAAAAAACGAATAAGATCGAATATTCGAATATGAAAAATATAATAAATCAATCTAAACTTACTTCATTTCTATAAGTTGTTTCTAGTAATACTTTTCGATTCTCTATAGAGGTAATATATAGATTTGCATCACCCGCGATGTCTCTTTGAATCGTAATTGTAGTTTCTCCAACAACAAGAATTCGTTTTCTTTGATTGTTATCTGCGCTGATAGACACTACGGATTCATCTCCGAGTACAGACTCCAATTGGTATGGTCCTTGAGCTCCAGCACCAAATATACTATTTATAGTAACCATTTGAGGTTCTACATTTGTATCAAATAAATGTACTAAAAATAGCATGCCTAAAGAATTGTCTCCCTTTAAGCAAGCTAAATATGGAGCAACCAAAACACATCTATATAAACACACAAAATAATACGATTTTTGTATACGAATATATATAATAAATATAATATATACGAGTATGTAATACGATTCTTACTCTGTTTCAGGAGTTATAAATGGAGCTGATACTTTTCTCGATTTTAATTTTTCACCAGTTTTACTATCGTACGATGTTACCTCAACTCCGCTATTGTAGATAGGTAAAATGTGGTGCAATGTTCCATCCTTGATATGCCATTTTACTTCTTCTATTCTATATCACAAAATATTTTTTCCTTTTATAATACATGAAAAAAAGTCTATTTTATACAAAATGACATAAATATTGAACATTCGTTTAAGTTCATTTCATCATTCTATAATATAATATTTCCTAGCAAAAATAAGATTATCAATAAAAGTAATATCAATTTGATATTCTAGTTAAATGTATAATATATTTGTAAGTTGAATGTGTTACGAAAAAGTACATCGATAATAATTGTGCACTGAATAAAGGCAAAAACCTGTTAGCAGTATACAATCCCAATGTAGAAAAGGATCTAAATGTAGAATCATGTCTGAAAAATGAATTAAAAAAAAAAAATGAATGAAAAATCAATTCTCTATGATCCACGAAAGATATCCACTTTGTACACCAAATGAAATAGTAAGAAATTGATGTTAAAGAAGCTTACATTTGCATTACAAAGGGAATATCTGACAATTGTTTAAGACTAACCTGTCAGAATTTTGTTCGGCAATTGGCCATTCGTTAAGTATATGTCCCGTTGTTAGATCCCATGCACGAACAATGGCTGGAACTCCGCCGCTTACAGATATTAGGTCCCCATCCGCAATACCTCCTATTGCTCGAATGTGACCAGCATATCCTTTCTCTAATATCTTTCTCCATAATATTTGACCTGATACATAATCCATAATATTTTAATATTACTACCTTTTTTCGTTTATCTAATAAATGAAAAGAGTATTCAATACATAAAGTCAAATTTTGTTTTCAATTTTAATATTATTACGGTTTTTCTAAGTATAACAATACATATATAATATTAAAGTAATTACATTTCACATACCTGTTTTCAGATTTAATGCGGCAATAACGTTTTCTTCTGTAGCAACAATAACCTTTTTAGCGGTTGAAATCGTATCGAAATTGGCAAATTTGATTTTTCCTACGTAATTTTGTTTCCTGCAATAGGAAGAGTAACAAAATTATTAACATATACTAGATGCATGATGATTTGTATATTTTCTTTGAAGCATATCTCTGTATTATTTAAACAACTAATTTCAATGGTCAGTAAGTTGGAATAAAAATTTAATTTACCAATCGAATTTTCCCACTTGATCTTCGTAAAGACATAGAGAAAGATTAAATAAACTTATAAATATAATAAGATATTGTAATATCTGTACATCCGTTAAAAACCGGCTGACATTCCCTCTGAGACTCCACGCAAAGGAAGCCATGATGAAAAACCTCTATATATCAAAGTATCAGCTGGTGGTGTATTACTTTCTCTCAACTTCTGCTAGGCCTTCAACTGCTTGGACATGTGATATGAAACAAATCTATGTGGCTGTTTGACTATATACAAATTTTCATGTAAAACAGATAAGACAGATGACGCAGCCATAAGTCCATGTAGATACGGGGAAGACACTAACAATAAATGGACAAAATACTAATTCGTGCGCTAGAGTGCACGTCAATCGCGTTCATAAATACAAATTGTGTAAAATAAATACAATTACCATTAGTCATGTAAATTCGTCCACCATTTTTCTACTGTACGTACACGTATTACACGTTGCATTCTATAATATATACCATGTATATAAAATATTAAATATGAAATAATGAAAATCTAATGTGTGTGTATAAATAGCTATGGTTTTAAACTCTTAGGGTAAATCTCCTTTTGCGGGAGGAGACCCCCGAGCAATCGATATTACTTCGTTGAATTTATTCTGCAATCATTATATATCATATACGCGTATTCGTAAGAAATATTAAATATTTAGATTTCTACAAATACTGATCACGATAAATATTCTATCGAAATTAGCATCAAATTAATGGCTGCTAAAAATAAATCATAATACAAAATGAAATATTTATCTGAACTGTTGAATAATCGACATTAAAAAGAAAGGTAAAAGTTGTATCATTGACGCATTTGTATTCCAAACAAAATTATTATATTATATTAAATATTCTTATCTGTTTTATTAGAAGATGGCTAATAGTAATGATCAAATACATGATCTTGATTTGATCGAATATTGATCTTCTATTATTCTTACTTTAATGTGTATTAAATTGATTTTGATACTAAAAAAATATATAAATAATAGTGAAAATAAAGGATGACCAACTGTTAAACACGAAAAAACAGGTATTCCCCGTTTTTACAGTTGTATCAAGACGATATTTAGTGACGGGCATTTTCTATATACTATTTTCATATTTGCTTAATTAATGTGTTATAAATAATCCTTTCAAGTAAAACTCGTTAAATATGTAATAAAACTATATTAACGTGTTTATTTCTAAATTGTCTTCATTCTAAATACCCTATACCAATAATTTTCAAGCAAAAATCTAGTACGGTTGTACGATTGTAGTACGATTTTAAGTGACACTCACTGTATATTTATTTATAGTGCATTTATTGGTACAGTTCGAAAAATGAACAGAGTTTTAAGTTGTTTAAGTTGCACTATCGCGCTATTCGTTTACTGTAACATTAATAAAACTTTACGTTATTACTGAGAACATTTACTTATACAGAGCTAAAAATACATAGCATTGAAGGACATTTTATCGATAGCTAAAGTGGATAATAGAATATGCCAGCGCTTTTACAGCGTCTTAAGAAGGAGAGGTAATGAATTCAGTCGTGATAGCTGTCTAGTAGCACATACACTCATTTATTATTTATATTATTATTTATTATTATTATTATATATTTAGATTGTACGTAGCTTATTATTTTTCTTGTAATTCTTTTTTTTGTTCTTTTTTTCTTCTTCTTTTCTATACTTTGTAGCAACAGCAAATATACTATCATTTGGTCACGGGGATAAATATGATCTCCAATCTACCGCTGATGTGTCATTGCGCCATGATACCGGATATATTGGCGTCAATGACTGAGCCCATTTTCATCTTTGGTAGGTTGTGATCAAGTAAAGAGGCTCGTCAATTATCCGGTAATGACAGTCTCCTGGATTTAGTTGAGCGAATAAACCGGACTTAATAAACCGAACAATGTGAAAAATAGTCAATTTCTGTTCGACGAAATGCAACCTATTCAAAGATCCTTATCGAAGACGATACGGCGCTAAAAGGTTTTCTTTCAAAATCGACCAATGAAGAGGTCTTGCTCTTATAAGCGCAAGATTAGTGACACTCTTCACCTACGTTACGTTCTTCTTTGACCATTTTGCCTAATGTAAGTTGTCAAAGAAGTCCTCTCTCACACACACACACACACATTCATACACACAAACGCACACACATCCTCACACACATATCCTCACACTCATTCATATACCCACACTCACACTCGTTTTTCCTTCGTCGCACATAAAACATCGCGCCGTAGATTATATTTTTCTTTCTTAGGATTAATATCAGCATGACAACACACGTCGCACTGCATCCATTTGTTGCATTGCATTAGATGCCACCACGACTAGTTCCATCTTATCTCCTACATTTATAGTATTATTTACAACTGTTTGGCACCGCATTTTTATCACTCCTAAAACCAACTCTCGTTCGCACATGACCGACCACCCACCCTATTCGTCCGCACACATGCACACACTTTCTCCCATACTTTTCTCTTGAAATAATCAGCAATGCTATCGAATAAAGTCGTTTGTGTCGGACATTGCTACTCGATGTTTAAAAGGCGCGCTTTTCGTGCCACGTAGAAAGAGCGCGATTTCATCGATATTATCATCTTCAACTTTGTTCATCGCTATCTAATTTCTCTTATACACTCGTCACTTTTTTTAAAATGTACAATACATATTCTCTCTCTCTCTCTCTCTCTCTCTCTCTCTCTCTCTCTCTCTCTCTTTCTCTCTTTCTCTCTCTCTCTCTCTCTCTCTTTCTCTCTTTCTCTCCGTTTTTATTATAATAATGTGGAATGTTCGATCTACCGATGGTTCCAGCAAACGTGGAATATTTTGGTTTGCCGGAGCCAAATTTAGAACTTTATCAAGCTACCTCCCTAATTTATTTCTTTCTTTCTTTTTAATTATTTGTTTCATTTACTCGTCCGATTGATAATCCATGGCACTGCCCTTTTACACAAGTCGAAGCCGAATTGGCAAAATTGCTTTGCCTTAGAGGGGCGCTACTTGAAAGTAACATTAACTTTTTTCTCATTATGAATTATTTCTAGGAAATTTCTGACTGCAACTGGTTTATAAATTCCAGACTGCCCAGCAGTCAGATTATATAACAGTTATCACAACGTAAGACCGTAATACTAATACGATATATTATTTAAATATATTAATATTTTATATATATATATATATATCTATATATATAACATATTAATAACAACTGATCTCTCTTTCTCTCTTTTGTGTTTTATATCGCATTACTCGATTCATACCGTGATACTGCCAGATAATTGGTAAAATACCATACGAAACGTAATATATAATACATTACATTTGTGTGTCCAATCTAACAAGCTATATAAACATAAATGCAAATGAACATTTTAAGAGAGCAAGTAGCTTATGATTTTTATCAATACTGTTTTGAAAAGTTCGTGAGGTAACATTATCGTGTGTGTTACGTTCTATTATAATTTGACTAAAAAAATATCGATCGACAAGCTACATACACTGCTATGATTATTAACATTTAGAAATGAGATCTAGTTTCATCCTAGCAACATGTGAACGTACATCCAAGATATCACTGATCTTATTTTCAATGAATCTTATCGTGAGTTCTTATTTGAAAATCTTATCTACTTCCACTTGCCAAAGTAACTGTTTGTGTTGTAGTAAGTAAAGTTGCTCATGTTCGTAACAGCACAATCGCTACGGTGACGATTTCGAGGCCGCTTACACACGTTATACGACGTACGTTATCATCGTATAATCGATTGATTTTCGTGTTACGTGCTCCTGCGCGACAACGATATTGACCACCACCTTCGCACGGTAGATTTTTTTCACTCAGAAGTTCTCAGAATCTGGATCGTTCGAGGGCGCAGCCTGTAGTGAGAGCTGCATGCTGGATTCTGTATTACGCCGCTTCATTTTACCCTTGGTCTTCTTCAGCATCGTTGCCTAGGAAGGGACAGGATCAGGGGAACGCACAAAGGAGTAATCGATAGAAAGTCAATGCCAATGACGAAGTGAGAAATATATCAAAACGCAGGAGAAAAAGAGAATAAAAACGTATGAAAAAGAAGATAGGAAAATAATAAGTAAAGATAATCGATTAGAAGAAATAGAGAGAGAGAGAGAGAGAGAGAGAGAGCGAGAGAGACAGAGAGAAAGAGAGAGAGAGCGAGAGAGAGAGAGAGAGCGAGAGAGAAAGAAAACAAAACAAAAAAAGAAAGAGAAAACAAAAGAAGAGAAGAAAGAGAAAGAGAAAAAGAAAGATTATTCCATAAAAGCTAAGAAAAATGTCTAGCTAGTAAAAAAGATGCGTGACTAATCCATATATATATATATATATATTACGAGAAGCATCCAGCTGCAATTGGGCCAAGGGTATCGACACGGTGGTGATATACGTATATACATCGAGGTAAACGCATGCGTTTCTTTCGGGAGTCGATCGGAATAATTCATACATAGGAGGCCTACATTTTGTAAGGGGGGGTGAGATCACACCGAAACTCCCCTAATCCATGTACAATGTTGCTTTGCACATAGAGGAGTCTAGGCGAGGATCGCACACCTCTCTCTTTCTCTGAACGAATGATTATTAATGACTGACTAGTGGCAAGCTGCAGTATGGTTGGTTTACTCGTCCGTGCTCTTGCCCCCCTCCCCATTAGCAGGTAGAATCGACGGTTCTGTATTCCGACGCTTGATCTTATTTTTCTTCAACATGGTAGCCTGAAGTGAACAAAGGAACAAGGAATAATTAGTAGAGTGCGATTAGGGGAGGAATGCATGCGCTGACGGACATCGGCAGTCAGGTAATGCCTCTTTATGAAGACTGCGCAGAGAGCGTTACGAGATATATGATTAAAAAAAAAATACAATATCTATACTACTAACTAATACATACAGATGCTTCCGTTTCAAATCTTACGTGCCATATATACATACATATATGTATAATATGTATATGTATAGTGTATACATATAGAGGACCCCATTATTCTATTTAAAATCGAACAGGCTGAGTGAACGGTGCAACGAAGAAGAGAGGTTTGCATTCGTATAAGTCGGGGGGAGGGGATAGAGATAGAACGTGTACGTAGAATGTAATAACTCTCTCGATGGGAGACATTGAAAATATATATGTATCTAAGGATTACCATTAAGGATATATACTTGCATTCTATGTTATGTTACACCCAATCTGTCCTTCATTTTGCTGGAATTATGGGGTTTCGGTAAAGTTTTTCTCAGGATTACCTTTAATGCAGATTTTAGAACTACTATTTCTCCTGGACTCTGGACCCACGGTTCGCCATCTACTTGTACCGGTATATCAGAGTTCAAACGTATTTTTATATGCCCACCCTACAATCAATCGGTTTATTTTGTAAATGCTAACGACGCAAGAAATCCATACTATAAGTCGAGAACTCTAATTAATTTAGCTCTCCCAAACAAATACTGACAGATAACTTATGTTATACGTTATTTTCCGAATCTGACAACGAATAGATAAATATACGCATATAAGAATATACATATCTATATCTATTTCTTCTTATTTTTTGATATCTTTCATTATCTCAAGAAATCGTGCTCGCAAGTCTACCAAAAGAAGAAGAATAACGAGGGAGCCAGATACGCTTGTCACTCCTTATTATTAGTATCGTTTACCTGTGCTATCCTCATTGCTCCTCGGAGACCAGATTGAATTTGGCCTAGATGTATAACACCCGTTACACCTACGACTTCCAACATACCATCCCAATGGTTTGGTTTATTAAACTGGTCTTCCTTATCTGGTCCCCAAGGGTTGGCACCAGAGCCCCAACTGTTGAGAGAAAAATTTAGTCGCAATATTTGAAATATAAACAGAGTTAGTTTCGTCAAATCTTTTGAAATTACCTTAAAATATTAAGAATGATAATTCCTTCTACTTGCGGCAATTCGACTAGTTTACCATCTACTTCTAATCGAATTTGATTATGCAAATCTTTACACGGCTTCCGACCAACCATCTTACGTAAACCCATTTTCACGTATACACTCTTATTTCGAATCCTGCTATTGAACTTATTCGGATTCTCTTCTCTCGCATTGTGAAAATCCAAGCACAGATCCGCATCGATTCCAAGCCCGAAATAATTATTCATAACAAAAATTTGCGAATTGTCTTCGCTACTTGAGCTTGGACCTACTTCAAGTATTCAAAGAATTTCTTATCATGTTCGATCGGAAAATATCGTTAATTAATATTATATATCTTTTTAATCGATTACCTGCAGCACAAGCAACCATTTGGGACTTGTCATCCTTTTCTTCAGGATGGAAAACCACCGTCCATCTGTCCAATATAATTTCTTCTGCGTCGATAACGTCTCGTAGTAAGTTCAATGGATCTTCGTCACCCGTGTATCCAGATCCCCAGCATAATACTCTTGCCAAATCATTTCCTGTTCCCAAGGGTACAATAGCGCAGGCGGGTGAAGAACATACACTGTCTTGACCGACGTTATCCAAACATTGCAAAACCCATCCTATCGTTCCATCTCCACCACAGACTAAAATTCTGTAGTGTTTGATATGACGAAAAACATAAAGCCTGTAACATATATCAATGCAGATATGAATTATCTGATTCACAATCGCGTTATAATTATAAGAAAAATATACGTTTCTTACTCACCCGGGAAGCGGACCACCGTTGTCCAAATCAAACACTTGAAAAGGATTTAAAAGTTTACGAAAACTAGAAATCAATTGTAACCCTTGGCAACCGCCAGATTTCACGTTAACAAATACAAGTAAGGGCTGAACACCAACTGGTACCATACTTGGTTCGATACTCGGTAATAACATAACTAAAATGCAAATAAACGTATTTCGATTATTGCCAATCACAAATATCATATTATTGGGAAATATTTTGTTCTTTCTATTTCATGAAATTTGAACAAATTTATCTACCTAAAAGATGTTTGTCTTCGTATTTTGATTCACGCAAAGTATAAAGGGCTTTAACAGCTTTATTTGAATCTTCGTATATAATGACCATCGAACCATATTCGTAATAAATCGGGCCCATGGACGAGAATTTGTTTTCTATAAAGTCAAATAATGAAGAAGGAAAAAGGGTTATTAAACATTATAATTAAATATTCATTGACCTATAAATATATAAATAATAGAAAATATATTCGCGTTACCTTTTCCTAAAAATTCGGTCAACATGTTTTCATAATTTCTTTCAGAAATATTTGGCGGCAAATTGCCCACGAATAATGCCAGATTAGGTCCATGGGGATCTTGTTTTAACTGTAAGTAAAATCTCATCAATTCCATTTGCCTGATGGAATCTTTACCCAGCTGTTTCACTATGTCCCATGGTTTTTCTTCCGGCTCCAAATTACGGCCAGATACTGAAACGAACGAATCAAAAAGGGACTGTTAAATAAACGACATATATATAAATGACACATTAATACATATGTGTATGTAATAAAGTTAGTCTACGACGAACGTACCATCGCGATCTAAGAGAATTTGTCTACATCTGTAATCTTCGGAATTGATATTTTCCAAATTAAACCTTAGAAGAGATTCCTGGATTAAATCTGACACTGTCGTTGTTTCAGTTACAGGTACAATGCAGAACGATTCTGATATCTGCAATTTTCCAGGGTAAACTCGTACTTCTCCGCCTTCGTTATCCCTTGAAAATAATTATTCGCATGGGGATCGTGTTATTTTCTAATTGGTCATTAATGGATATACGTGTGTATAATTGTAAAAAAAAAATATTAAATGTGCGCTTACTTAAATCGCAAGCAGACTGCCGGACGTTTGCCTTCCTTACGATTCAAATTTAGGATTGGTGTCGGATCGCACAGCTCACTTTCTTCCGTAGCATATAGATCGGTTAAATAAAAATGACCTGGATAGGAAACAAAATTGTTTTTTTTTTATCTATCGATTATACATATTGATAATGATTATTATTATAATATAAAATTATTCTTACGCACCAGGATCTGTCGTGATATGATGTGCACGAAGCGCGGATGTTAAAACTTGTTCCGTGCTAGCTAGTCTAGATACCGTAATTACTCGAAATATTCGATGCTTCAAAGAGCTGTTTCCATCGTATACCTTTATCGTCTCTAAATCATTAAAACGCATCATCAGACAGAAATGTTGATTTTCATTATTATTTAAATATTATACAATATTTTTAATGGAAATGAATGTGTTACATATATATATATATATATATAGAATCGAGAATAAAAAACTATCGATAAAAGATGATGCACTGTTGAAGAAAATACCTTCGTCGCCTCTTTCTTTATCATCTTTATCTTTGGTAAACCGTGGATCACGGCCATGCGGAGCTTGTCCAGGTTCGTCGTTATCGCGATACTTGGCATCGCCGCTGCTAAATTCCTCCGAAATGCTTCTTGCTACAGACACAAAAATAATAACATATATTTTTTTAGATAATGTTCCTTGCATCCTCGCTACACAAACCATCGACACATTAGATAAATATTGCAATACACATCTCCTTCAATGATAAATTCAATGTTAATAGGTCTCATATTCGATTACTCGATTACTCAGATAACATTAATGGTGTGACAAGAGAGCAATTTAATATGATTAATATAATATATTGCTGCAAAAAACAAGCAAACGCGTCTAAAGATATTGATTACTTTTTATTGATTCTCTATCCCGTAATAATAAAACGATAAAAGTATATACATTTAAGAAATCTTTTCTTTCTCTAAATGATTTCAAAAATAAATGAGCAAGGCATTCAATTATATATATATATATATATAATGTTCTTCTATTCCTTATAAGTGAATAAACTGAATTGGGTTTCACTATAAATAGAGTTTTTATTTTTTAAACAAATTAATAATTAAATTAACAATTAAATTTTATTTTCAATAGTTGCTTTAATTTTAGTTTTCTTAACGATAAATAGAGAAACGACATTTAAGCTTATTCTTCCCTATCTTTCTTCTAATTCTAACGTTCCTAACGATCCTTCTTTCAATTCTCCTTGATTTTATACCTATTTTTTTTGTACACATGTTACTTCTCCTACTTACAGCTTAATTACTTTCTCTTGTCTTAATGAAACTTCTATTACCGACAAGTCACACGGCAAAATTCAAATGGGCTTGTAAAGTAGTATTTGTACTACTTTATATATATATATATATATACGTATATCATTTTATATTGTTACGTTGAAGAATCGTTGAGAAGACAAAATAATAAAAATTTCAGGAGATGCTTGTGTAAGTAAAAGAGAAAAATATAATAATTGATCTAGAAATATACTCTATATCGCATTCTATCGAATCGTTTTATCATTCTTTAAAAAAGTGACACACACCTCTTACCATCGAACATTTACGATGGGTTTGTAGAACACACATGATAGGAAGAATTATTCAGTAGCATTCTTGTACTTCATTTCACTGCATAGTAGAGTGATAAGCATCATGGATTTTTCACATAGCATCCAGCGGGCTGAGTGTGACAGTGCATGCACTGAAGCGAAACATATGTACATACATGCTAAAACGAAAACAATAACAAAATAACAACATTCATCAAAATCTGTATAGCACAACTTTCCAATTAATAAAATAGAGTTTCTTAAGTGTACCTGCGTTTTTTCATAGAAAAATATCTCTAGATATATGTGTAAAACATTAAAGAGTATATATATATTTATCATTATTAAAATATTAATATTTCTATTTTCTTTTTTTTTTTAGTAATATTTCTTAATCTTTTTTTCTTTTTTTTTTTTTTTTCCTTTTTTTTTTTTTTTATCAATCTTTATCTTATTGTTAGATATAAATCATTCTTTTCGTTTTCATTATATTTCTATATTTGTGATAATATTGCTTCTAACGACAAATAGATATGTATATATATAGATTTATTGATGTATAAATGTATTATGTAAAATAATAAAAACATACACATACACACACACATACACACGCTCGCACACCAACGTGTTGAATAATTATTGTGTATAGAGTTTTTCCAAGTATTACCATTTTTATTTGTCCTGTTGCAAAGTATGGTTCGGTCATATGTAAAAATCGGTCAGTGGAATAAACAAAATGATATGCAAGAAGCGAGTTTGCCATATATCGGACAAAAGAAAAATATTATATAATAATAATATAATAATAATAATAATAATAATATATAAACCATAAACACATGAGATATCTCATATAAATGTATAAATATATCTACAATATAAATGTGTGTATAAATGTATATATGTATATATTATAGATATAATAGGTATATATATATATAGGTATGTAGGTATACATATATATATAGGTATACATAGGTATATATATATATATATATATGTACAAAAAAGAAATGATAATAGCTACTGGAATGATTTATCTTTCTTTCTGTTTTTTGCGCTACAGATTTGATAATATTGAATATGCTCACACAAATGAATGTCTGATGATGTAATATTCTAGATACCTCGAACATAAGGAGGGGAAGCATGACAATTTCCATGGCAGCTACGTGGCAAAATTAGTGAAAGGCGCCTCAAAGCTTCAGCTAGGCAGCCTGCAGCCCCAATTTGTTCACTCTCAGCGAAATCGAATTGCTCTCCGATGTTATCTTCAAATAGAAGCAAACGATAATCCGAATATTTTAACAGTCAATTTGAATTCTACTAAATTTGCCTTTTTTTTCAACTATTTTTCCTATATTATAATACGTAATGTAATACAATAAGTCGACAAAAAATTGTGTCCAAAATATGGCGGGGTTTGAACTTTCTAATAGCTTATAAAAAAAGAGATTATTATTATTTTTGTTGATAATACCTAGCAGGCTATATTATTTTTATTTATTTGATAAGGAAAGGGAATATAAATGTAGACAAACAAAACTATTATAGTTAATATCTTTGCACGTTTGGATTAATTAACTTGCATTTACTTGCTTATAACGAGACATTGTGAACTAGAGTAACTACTAAAGTGAATATCCATTTAAAAGCGCAATGAAAATAGCAACTATAACAACGACAGCCACGGAAGCCATAATGTTTGAAATATTAGTCAAATTGATTATTTCTAAGGAACAATTTGAATTATTCCATTTATTTTTCTTGTTCTAGTTTTGTTCTTTTTCCATATTAACGTTCGTAACGATACGTTTAAAAGAAATATCTTGAAAAGAGTGGCTTTCAAAGTTTTATTTGGTAACACGCAATGTTAAACGATTAAGGCGACTTATTAACGAGCGTTTATTTAAATCATACAATGTGAAAAAAGGGTAGAGTGTCAATACTTAGAAAATAACTAATGATAGCTGACCTTTGAAAATCTTACCTTACCCTTTTCCTAATCACTTAGAAAATGTCTAGGCTAAGGAACTATAGGAATACGAGTAGAGGAAGTTATTCGTAACTGATAATATACGTATAATAAAATACAATGCTACAGACATACAGTGATATGCATTCTTACAATTCACCTATAGCTACCTTGTATAGTGTCAAATTTACTTATATTAATCACAATTAATATTATACCTATATATTTATTCGATTGAAAAATATATAAATAAAAAGCGAAGACAAAATAAATATTAATATATCTATCTATCTGTGTGTGTGTTTCTACGAACAAAAATAGAAAAACTTGTTAAATACTATATATCCTACTAAGTTGATATCGCATGCTTAAAAAAAGTAAATATAGGTACTATAATATATATGTATGTATATGTATGCGTGTACTCTATAAATGTAAATAACGTTTACGAAGGTTCTTATATAAGGATATATCGAGATAATAGAGCATGCAAAAAAGAATTGATAAATAATGTTGTTATCGTTGACAATTTTTTGATATGTATAAATGTATAGTATATGTGTATATAATATTGGAAATGAAAAAAATAAGATGATCAGACCAGTTTACATACTTCCAGAACAAATAGTATGATGCCATTATCTGTTATCTGAGCGTAATAGGACATTTATTAGATATTTTCTTGATATTTATTTGTTTCCATATCGCACACGACTAATTAACGATATGAAATTTAACTTGATTCGATGACAGGGAGAGAATAAAAGGTATGTTGATTTCGCTATTCTAATATACCTATCCCGTATATATGTAGAAGAAGAATGTTTATTATTATATATTGTGTGTTCATTCATACTTGATTCCATAATATGGTATAATGTAATAATGTTTGGTAGACGTGTTGCTGGATGGTTCAGCTATCGTATGAATATATGTACGTATCATCCATCTAGGTACGTATATGTACGTATGTATGTATTTTTATAAATAAAACACTTACGGCAGGAATACTCACGCGCCAGGACTTCTTTACGACGCACTTGAACTCCGATAATCGCTTCCATTGGTACTTCGGTACGTGGAATACTGACTGCATGGGGCGGTAGGTAAATTGATTCCAAATTCCCAAACGTACATTCGGTGGGGATGCTTTTGTAGCAGAATGCGTGCGACTGAGAAACACGAGATCGGAAATGACATTATTACGGAAAATGAAAATAGAAAAGTATAGTATTATAAATCGCGATTTAAGAGTAATGTAGCATATATATAAAAAAAAAACAAAAGCGTATGAAAAGCGTATGAAAAGCTTATGAAAAGCTTATGATTAGCTTAGCTTACCGTTACGCCACACCATTCGCAACGAAACCCAGAAAGGCACTCGGCAGAGAAACAATTTTTCTTGCATACGGCACATTTGGAGTTGCTGGGAAGATTTCCTTCTCTCCAATGATGCGTATGCTTTACATCATCCAAATCCTTTCCAGGTAAATAAGTTGCGTTTTCTTTGCAATCTGCCATCGAAAAGTTCTGACATTCCGTGTGGACGAAATACTCGCATACTGCAATCGCAAGCAAGCGCATTATAGAACATTTCAAATGTCAACCTTTATCATCGTTTCAACTTTTTATCCAGTCTTATTCATTATAAAAATAACCAACCCCAATACTTACTTTGGCAATGTATGGATAAATTATCGTCCAACCGTTTCCGACAGACGTTGCAGAATTTTTTTTTCCGTTGTACCGGTTCGGACCAACAGTGTGCAACCGGGTTCTAGAAGAATAATATTACAAACTAAATACGCAAAGGTGCTAAATAATGCCGAAAATAATATCGAGTTATTTTATTTCAAGCATTTCCATATTGTTGGAAGTGCTTGAAATAAAATAAAACAAAAGAAGGAATAAAAGTAATACGCGAGGTACCTTAATCAGGCTTGCCGCGATGATGGAGCAGGGAGACACGACGGCCTTGAGACAGCGGTCGTGCACCACGAAGTTGCAAACTGAAATGAAACACACGAGAGAGAGAGAGAGAGAGTAAAGTAATTTAAAGCTACTTAATAATTACTGTTAACGTTCTTAACTTTTATTCTTGTAATATAATCTACCTGTAGAAATATTTGGATTTTCAATCGAAACGAATTTTCTAGATCCACGTTCCTTTACGATCTATTAAATCGCAAATAATTTACACGCGAACGGGGTAACGATCGACATTATCAGCGTGGAACGTAAAACGTACAATATTACAATGCGCAATCAACCAAGAACATTTTATAGATTCGGTGCATATTTATAGAGAAAAATCGTTAGACCTTAAAGGAAGAAAAAGAAACTATATAAATGCGCAACATATATCAATTCCTAAGCGTGCTTCCGGTTTTCTAAAAATATCCTGTCCTTGAAGACACCTTACGCGCAGGCAGCATGCACACGCGCGCGCGCGCGCGAACGTCGAGCCGATGCCGCCAAAGCCATATCTTCTTTTTCCCCCATTAGCGCATATAATCGGGTCAATGAGTTTTCAATTGACGAATTATTTTCCAAACGCTTTTCTATCCGCCACGTAGAGACTAATCGTTCTACAGACGCAACCCTGATCGCGGTATATAAACAGTTTATATGATCTATATTTCATCGAGCGCAATAAAAAATAATCCTTCATCGTCGATGAACTTAATCAAGTACATTAGGATGCATCGATCGATCGTTGAATGCTCTAATACGAAAGTATCTCGAATCATCTTGTCTACCTAGAAGTTGCGATCGATTTGTCGAATCCTAGACAAAATGGTATTAAGGAAAATACATTTTTATCGTCTACGGGGAACAATAATGAGAATATTTTTCTTATATTAATATAATATTATTGCCCCCTTCCACGCACAAGATCATCAAAATGTTTTTAACGATAAGGTAACTTTGTCATCGTCCACATTAGTTTGCATAAACTCGATGCTTTTTTGCTCCACGTTTCTGTTTATCGAGGAATCCAAGAGAAGCCCAAGAGAAGGGCAAAGAGGAGGGCAAAGAGGAGGGCAAAGAGGAGGGCAAAGAGGAAGGCAAGAGAAGAATAACTCGAGCGCGGGACGGAAGGAAGTGTCACCGTCGATGAATCTAACGCTAACCTTTCGTTCTACTTCATTGGTAATCGAGTTGCTTTTTTAAAACAACTAACTAGGTGTACGAGAGAACAAGAACGAGAGAGCCTTTTCCACCTTTTTGCTCGTCGTGGCGAGCCCTCCGCCACTCCTCTCGTATTTCGAGCTCGCTTTTTCTCTCTCTCTCTCTTTTTCTCGGCCCTCGACTACCCCACACCATTCCCTACGATCAATGCTCGAGAAAAGACTGACAAAAGCACCATCTGCCGTCCGTTGTAAAGGGTTTTCTTCGAGCAATCTCACGATCTATGCAAAGATCGAGTTATACACATATTTGACGAGAGAACAAAACAAGGAAAATGTCATCTTATCAGGATGAATTGTAGAAAAAATAGTATCAAAACCGATCGATAATTAAGCAACTATTTTTCAAATGACGAATTAACGAATGGAGAACAATTGTGCGTTCTTAAATCGTTTTTGTGCACCGTTATAGGTATAGTATCGGTGCCTGTTTCGATTCTTTCCATTTGACATTTAAATCATTTCGAATTATTTGATATCGTCGACTGATTAACAAAAAAAAAAACGGTCAAAGAAAAACATTTTAAGAGAAAAAAGAAAGGATAAAGAAGATACAAAAAGAGAATTAGAATTTGGTAGAAGAAAAAAAAAAGAAAAAAGAATGAAGCGACGGGCGTTCGATCGTATTAACCGAGCGGCACCCGTTATATCGATCGTGTCCCCTTTCGCCATCTGTTTTCCGGAACTCTAGGATTTCGAAGCAGCTTGAGAGAACACGCGCTTCGTCGAGGAGAGATTCTCGAGATAGATAGATGGATAAATGGATGGATTGATGAATGGGTGGGTGGATGAATGGGTGGATGGATAGATCGATAGATGGAATAGATCGTTGGATGGGTAGATAGATAAATATATAGATAGATAGAGAAAGAGATTCTCGAGTGAGAGGAGAGAGAGAGAGAGAGAAGAAAAGCCGAGGTCGCTTCGTGGCTTGCTCGTCCAAAAATACACGGCCGTACCGTCTCCGTCATCGAGTCGATCGACACGTTGTTCTTATCGACGACGGGAGAAGGTATTCAAAGAAAGCCAATGTCCCTGCGTTTTTCAATAAAAACCGTCTCGCTGCTCATTATCTCTTTCTCAGATCGATAATTTCTGATTATTGTTTTGAAAAATTGCAAGGAATATGCTAAAGAGAATCGCTCTCCCTCTCTCTTTCTCCTTTCATTTTGATTTCCATAGACGTAATAAGGTAATATGATAGAAACCGGTAGGATGACTCGAAATCGTCGAGTCTCGTACCTTCGCAGATGTACCCCTGCTGAATGAGGCCCCAGAGCATGTCCGTGCAGTTATGGCAGTACGTTGGCTTGTGAAACGTCTTCTTAGCAAAACGGTGCCCATGGCTGGATCGAGTCTCAGCCGAGACCGACGCCATGTTCCCCGTTCCACCGCGGCAACTTTCACGCCAGATTTTCACCGTGAAGATGCACAGGGCGCGCCGTGCAAAGACGACGACGACAATAACAACAACATAATTACACGCCGAGTACTACGTGATTTCGAAACCGTACGCGTACATAATTGCCGCTTTGTCGCCGCCGCCGCCGCCGCCGCCTTAATTCCACACTTTCCGTTAATCTTGATCGCCCTCGGCGTCGGCGTCGGCGTCGTCCACGTCCTTTTTCTCGCCGTCACGTATCTAACGCGCATTATTTTCCAAACCACCTCGTCGCGGCGTTACGACCGATCGACGACACCACCGACGATGATAGGAACGCCTCTTCTTCTTCGGCAGCTCCACCTTCGCTACTTTGTTCAACTCTACGAGCTCCTTCGTCGGTCTTTTTTTCGCCACGCAACTCGACTTCCTACACCACCAATGGAGAGTCGTCGACGTCGATCTTTTCATCACCACCACCTCCTCCTCCTCCTCCTCCTCTTCCTCCTCCTCCTCCTCTTCCCTATCTTTTTACCCTTTCGTTCCTCGGTTCCGTCCTCGGCTCCGTCCTCAGCTCCGTCCTCGGCTCCGTCCTCTGCTCCGTTCTCGGCCACGTTTTTGTCTTCTTTTTCTTCTTCTCCTGTGATTTTCTTAGCGGGACTACCCCGCGACCTGGATCGCGACCTGGATCGCGACCTGAATCGCGATCTCGCTCACCTCACAACACCGCTCTTTTTTTTTATCGCTCTTCTTCCTCCACCTCCTCCTCCACCTCCACCTCCTCCTCCTTCCTCCTCCTCCTCCTCCTCCTTCTTCTTCTTCCTCTACTTCTTCTTCTTCTTCTTCCTCTACTTCCTCTTTTACTTCTCGTTCGTCTCTTTTATGATTTTTGTCCGTTCTTCCGTTCGGTCGCGTTAAAATGATAACAGTAGTAGGATTCTACTTGCCCAAGTAGAAGAACGGTCTGTTCTTGTTTCGGTCTCGGGTTCGCATTCGCGCAACCGAGACACGGACCGGCCGTCGAGTGGCCGCACTGACATCGGGCTTCCGTCCCGAAGAGCTGCGCATGCGGCACCAGCCGAGTGATCGCACCCTTCCACTGCCGTATCATCCTCGGCTTGGTACCACCATGGATACCCTCTTATTATCATACAACTTTCTTATTCCTTTTTTCCTATCCTCACCTTTCCCGTTTCTCCGATAATCCCTCATTTCATTCTATTATTCCATACTGTTACTCGCTAATGAAACAATTGTTATTTTTAAACCTACGCGATTAGGGAGAGGAGAATGTTATTCGAATCATCAGTTTTCCCGGGTTACCAAAGATTCATCTTCCATCATTGCCCTCGTCGTCACCGTCAACGTAGTGCACGTAGTCGCGCTTGCTCTTTGTCGTCCTATCTTTCCCTCTCCTTCTCACCCTATCCTTCTTTCTCTTTCGAGAAGTCGACTCAGTCGCGTCCAAACGCGCTCCACCCTGCTGCTGCTTGCGATCAGATGTTCAACATTTCCTTCTTTCGTCTTCTCTTGCTTTTTAGGTCCTTTGGGATTTCAATTTAAAACCTATCCGAATATTCCTCGATTCTGCGATTATTTTTTCGTTCTTTCATTCGATATTTATTTGAACAAGAGAGGAAAGGAAGAGGACGCGCGTTTCCCGCTTTTCTACTTACTCTCTATATTGTTTTATTTCGATTTTAAATATTATCGGAAAATAATCGAATAATCCATGGTAATTTTGTTACGATCGTTCATTGCGATCCATATCAAGAATGAACGAAGCGTACAATGAACGTCGTTATTGGTCCTTTTTAATGGGTATACTTGTTTGTTTATCGCGCATCTACGAGATCAAATTGGGCTGGTTGGTTGTCGAAAAAGGATTAGAAGAACGTGAAGACGTCATCGTTGTCGAACCGTTGTACGATAACGATGACGAGGCAACGTCGTGCTGAAAATGTGTTGAACGCGCCGACGCGCATCATCCACCTCCTTTGGTATCGGTTATTCTCTTAACATTCCTTTCGCCTAGCTTGTGCTAAGAGATTTGATATTTATCAGCACATTATAATGATTATTTTCTACTCGACACCACTTTTATAGTATAGCTCTAATAACGAAACATAAATTACGATGCTAAAGTAAGTCTAGCATAACAGAATCTACCATATCATTGTCAATATTCCTGTGATCCAACACAAAAGAAATGTATGAAAGCGAATGAAACTTCCGCGTTAATCGCATGACAGGGTGGTGGTGGTGGTGGTGGTGTTTGTGATTTTTCAATAACGGAACGAGTGGGAATCCTAGAGAGAAATGTTTCCCGTCCTTTCCGAGTAATCTTCGTCCCACATTCTTCTTGCGCGTTTTTTTAACGACGTTCAACGTTCTATTCATTCGTACGAACCAATACGGTGCCACGTACGCAACCACGCATGCAACACAGCCACACACGCAGTCTTGCAAGCACGCACGCACGTGCCTACCACAAAGTTAGACGTTTCTGACGCGCGTTATATTGTCCGACGAAGCATAAATTATACTACTCAAACGACCTCGATCTATCTTACAAAGGGAGGATTAGACCTGTAGGACAGACCGATTTTTTTATATGGGTCTATTAGGAGCGTACACTGTGCAAACAGTAAGACCCAATACTCAATCGTTTCCAAATAAAAAAAGGGAGAATTTTCACAAACAGCTTATATATCAATAATTCGTTTCAGTAGTTAATATGAGCCGCCAGCAGTGCAGCTGACAACGGCCTAGATTTGTAACCGCGAGATCGCTAAATCGAATCTCCCTTACATTGGACGACTTTTTTTTTCACTTTAATTTACATTTTATTTCCGTAGCTTTTCTATTTTCGTTAGTATAAAATATGTTTTGTTTTTATATAAAGAAGCTATTTAAAGGGCTTTCGTAACAGGCGGATGTTACTTGAAGAGGAAGATATCGAAAAATAACACTACGAATAAAATATATTTTACAATAACGGAAAAATAAGAAAAATACAGAAATTAAATTTAAATTAAAGTAAAAAAAACAAAAGTCGTCCGAGTCGTTGTTAATTTCATGCACGAAGGGATAGGATCGAGTCAAGTTCGTGCAATCGGTAGGCATCGTCTAAGATGATAAAAACTGATCGAATATATTTATTCTTATATTTGTTTTATTTATTATGGACGGAGCACAAAGCATCATTTGCAATCAATGCAGTCTTAACATAAAATACATACATATTTTAATCTTAACATTGGTAAATGTTTTTCTATCAATTTGCATGTATTTTCTATAAACGTGTGCAGCAGTTGAACACACACAGTTTACATAGAACGTAAAATATTTTAAAACCTATTTTTAATTACATTGCAATGAAAAATATCTGCATATTAGGATAAAGTCAAAACTACGCAAAAAAAAAGAAAAAGTAAACTATTCTTATTATTATATTTTTCTTCAGACTTTCACATCATGCTCTCGTTTGATATTGTAGAAATGGCGATTAATTTTTCATTTACTCTTTTTTAAATGTATGATTAATAAAATTGAAAATATTTTCACAAGATAGACGTCTAAAGATTTCGACAAATTAAATGGCTCTAGGACATTTATAAATATGTCCTACGAAGCAATTATACAAACTTTACTATCATTCAAATTTCTTTTTATTTCAGCGATAAATCTAATAAATATACCTTTTTTACGTACTCCTATAAGTTACGTAGTTCTACGTTATAATCAACAGCGTTTGATGAAAAAAATCGGACCCCTGATAAATATCATTTAATCTTTTATACGAATTCTGTCAGATAATATTTGAATATATTTATATTTGTGTGTTAATTTTGTATATGTGTGTACGCGCGCGCGCCTATTAGTGTTTATTCGTGCGTATAAATATATGTATATTTATTGTCATTATTAAATTGAAAGATATCTTCAGCATACAGATAGATCCCACTTTAACAATTGAATTCATCCTTATCCTTTCCCTTTTGTATAACAAACACGTCTTCTGCTTCTGATTATTCATTTCTCTCATCGGCAATCTTAATAACAAGTGTGTAATATAGTATAAATCTGTTTAATTTCAAGAAATTTAGTCAAAAGAGACATTTTCGTTTTGAAGAAATGTCGATAAGGGGGCAGAAGCTACCTGTACCTTAAACATTTTAATTAGAAGCAATCTTTGTGTGTAATACCCATATTTGTGCTATGCCTTACGAATAATTAGCTTCAATACGTTAGAGAATTCAATATTATTTTCTTTTCTCTTGTTCGTCAAATAGATTAACGATATGAAAAATTCAACGAGAATATTATAACATGACTTAACGAGACAATGTGATGTATACTTGGAATATACATTTTATGGAGTATACAAATGGAAAATATCTGAAAGTCTAACTGTTATTTACTGCTATGAAAATCGTTAACAATGGCTTTAGATATAAATTCGTTTCTGCGATCAGCAACAGTATAATACTAAATAGTTGAATAAACAAAAAATCTGTATAACTTGAATATTATATTTATATACACGTTTACACGGTCTAACTAAATGTAATTGTGCACCCAAGGTCCAACAGAGCAGTCTGTTTAAATGTAATCATTAATTACTCGTATAAACAATATAATAATGATTTCTAACAATAAGTACATTTTACAAATAATTCATCAGTCATTGGATCAGCATGAGAGATAAAACATAAACAACTTGAAATATTATGATAATGAATTAATATAGATGATATAATTCATTGCCAAGTCTTTCTTTACCTGATATGTAACATCGCTACTTGTAAAAACGCAATGTACCTAATTTAGAAAATACTGACTGGTGACTTAGTAATACATATATTACGCTATTCTTTAACTTAATTAAATCTTTGAAAAGTGATCAATCGTAGAATAACATATTTCTTGTTAAAATTTGTAATAATTTGTTATATATATATACATATACATATACATATATATACATAACATTTACTAAGAGATTTTTAGTGCGTTATTCATTCTTAATAGTTTAAGTAAAATAGTAGCTTACACATAAAATGCAATCAATTTCCTGGAATGATAGGACATTCCTATAAAATGTCTTGCCAATTGGAAAGAAAAAGTAACTCCTGGAAAAATATTATCCTAATCCATGATCTTCGAAAAATCCTTGCGGGGTCTCCTCCTGAAACATAAGCAATGTAAATAGTTTTGGAAAATTATTTAGAGTACTTTGACATAATATATGAATAGGGATCAATTACTTTGATGCTGCCTCCTATTATAAAGTTTATATAATACGATAATCACAGAATATATATGAGTAAGCAAGCACGTACCTACTTTGACTCAAGTTATCTTCTTGATGCAGCTTCAAATGATGAACTGAACCCTTTTCATATAATCAAGTAATTTTGTAATCATTTTTATTAATAAAGTGATGTGTATAGTGCACGTTTATATACAGCGTCTAGATTTTTAAGCTTAGCTTAAACAGTTTTTTTTTAGCATGCTATAGGGTACCTCACATATATTATTATTAATTGTGTTAATAAAAACAACAATCTATACACAACGAACCATTATTGGACTGAGAACACAAATGTTAAAATAATATATTTAGTCAATATATTTGTTTTATTTTCTTATTTAAACATTTGAAAAAATTTCTAAATCACAATTTGTAAAAAAAGTGAAGCGCGATTTGTCCAAAAATTTCTTAACATTATACATTTATGAGTTTATTACAAATACATTCGATGTTCTAGTTTCACATTGAAAGATCAAATCTTATTGCTTATACTATACGCTTACGTACATAAACATACATATAAAGATGATTCCAAATTGTACTTATTTACTATTAGAGATATCTATCTAATCTGTGTATACATATAAATTATTCTTTCTTTCCTCCTTTATGTTTCTTTTTTATCTAGTTATACCACCAAAATTCTAAGCAGTTTCTTTCGACATATAACGTACACGAATACAGATTTTGTTCGAAAATTCCTTATGCTCTTCTAAATACGTATGAGATATTATTGCCACAGTTATAGTTCGTCAAAATCTACAGAATATCTATAAGATAATATTGATACAAGTGAAAAATTCTGATTGTAGAATATAAAATTTGTATCTTTTGAAATGTTATATTATTTTGTACCACTTTCCAATTCTCATACTGCACAATCTATTGGTACAAAAATATGACAATATTTTTCATATTTGAAGTGGAGAGAGAGAAAGAGAGAAAGTAAAAGTGAAAGTGAAAGAGAGAGAGAGAGAGAAAGAGAGAGAAAGAGAAAGAGAAAGAGAAAGAGAAAGAGAAAGAGAAAGAGAAAGAGAAAGAAAAAGAGAAAGAGAAAGAGGGCTAAACGGCGAAAAAGAGATCAATCTATGTAAAAAATCTCTTGTGATAAAGTTGACACATATGATGATGCGCACGACGACATAGTTCTCAAGATGAATTTTTCGATGCAGATGTTCATCCGGGTAGAGTCATATCTGGCATGTAGAATATATAAGAATGCAGCACCTATAAAAGCCCTATCTCCCGCAGAGCACCTTCCACAGCTTCATCCTTCCACAAAGAAACAAACGCTAACTAGTCTTGCATACTCTTGCGCCAATTAATTTGTTAACACTTTTTACTTTCATTTCTACAATATTATACAAACTATTTTGTCGATTTTCAATCGATTCTGATAGTACAGCCAAAATAAATGTACTTCTTTTCTTCTTACATATTCATTATTCCGTTATATTATTTTTCTTAACATACTTATTATTATATAATGCACTCACAATGTTTACATTTATATTAGTGCCATGTGTACGCATTTGTATAAATAATTATAAATGCTTTAAAACAATTAATATTAACATTCTTTGTGTGTATCGGTGGTACACAAGATGGTACACAAAAACTATCACTATAATATTCACAAGTTAACATTTCCAATAATGATGGTAATAAATATGTCTCTTTTAAAATAATATTTAACTATATATTAAAAACAATTATAATGGCATTAGCATCATATATAATTACAAGCAAATAAAAGCTAATAGTGAATAAAACATTCTCATTGGGATAGGTAAAAAGTTTATGTGCAATTTATAAATAGTTGATAACATAATTTCTATCGTCTCGTATAAACGTTAATGAATTTATTATTGGAATACAATAACAATATATATGCACACAAACACGCACGCACACACGCACACACGCACGCACCACGCGTACACAAACACTAAATTGAAAGAATAACAAAAATTCATTATTTATTAAATGTCCATAATACATATTGTCAAGAAAATATGTATAATTGGCAGCATATCCATAGCAATAATTTTCACGTTTGTCACAATATTGCCATAAATCTATATAACAAATGATATTAAATTTTCTTCTTAAAGACTCCTGTTATTAACATGAAATAGTAACGTTATTAGTAATGGCAACTAGTATATATTAGATACTATAATATTATCTTTAATATTATGGCAATACTGTAATGTATATAATAATAAGGCAAGCATGCTTATGTTCGTTAACAATCATTGAAATATCAATAAAATAATGTCAAATATAATGTCAAGCTTATCATTGCAACAAAGCAATAGTACGTTACTAGACCCAACCAAACTAGAGGAGGAACAAAAATATCTTTCTTTCATATTCTACCAGAACTAATCAGTTTGTTATTGCATGAAATAAATTAGTAGCCTATACAATACATATATGATGCTAATACAAGAATAGTTGTTTTACATTCTTGCGAATCAAATTGACTAGATATAATACATTGTATATTATGCAATTTCCCTTACCATTTCTATGATTTATATATCATCTCTAATATATGCTTTGTTATCTCTCATAAAATATATACATCATTTACATGGCACATTAAATATAAATGAAAACATAGTTTCTGCCTAGGTTACTATTATACAATTAGTGTATGTTAACAACAGAACGTCTTTCATTGATCTTGGCACACCATAATTGACTCATTGAGAATCTTCTATAGATAAAAAACGTATTTAAAAAACACATGGTCATGCAGTAGACAGTTTACTTCCATGGAGATGCTACCGCATACACAATATATAATATTGTCATAAATAATTATATATAATCTCGCTACAAGCTCGCTTAAAATAATCAATTAACAAACACATTAAGCAATTTATGCACGCAAGATTAGCTATTAGAATATTTACTTCTTCATATTTTACTCGATCAACTCAATCATGGATGAAATATTGCTCAAATATATTTATATAATTACTAGTTACTATATAAAATAGGATAAGAAATTTAATACGGTTCTCAAAATAACCTTCCGTCTACACCGATTCCATAAATTAAACAAAAATAAAAAGTACATAAATAGCCAGAGAATATAAAAAGTATTATTATTTGATAAGAAATTTGCAATTAATCAAAATAAAGGAATATTTTCCATGAAATACTAGAAAAAGAAAAAAGAAAAATAATGTAGATTAAAAATTGTAAAACATAATCACATTCTACGATGAATATGTTAAATGACAAATTCAGCCAATAAATATTGATTTTGACTGACTCGTCGTTTGTACTAAAATTGTAAGTCTACCTTTTATAGTAGTATTGAATAAAACAATGAATTATTTGTACGAGGCATATAAAATATTTTTGACGACTAGCACGATTAACGAAACGAAAATAAGAAAAATGTATACGCTGATTGTCATTAATAATGATGTTGCAAAAAACATAGGGAGAATTTACGTTGCTATTAAGTATTATTTGATCTTATAGCTATCTAGTGTATATCAGAAATATCCCTATTAATTTATATATTATAATCGCTGTCAAATTTATATTTTCTTAATGCAATAGGTATTTAAAAAAATATAGTTGTTGTATATCTAAAACTGTTATATCAAAAATATATATAATATATATATATACCACGTTATTGTATCAACAAGAAAAAGATAAGCATGCAAACCACATTTGCATCACAGATTTAGTAGTATTTTTTGTAGTATAGAAATCTTGTTCTTTTGTCTATCATTTAAAAATTGCATATTACTCTTGTTAGAGACATTACACAATAACTACCAATAATAAGTATAGTATCCATGGATCATTTAAAAGTGTAGCACTAGTTAAAGTTAAGTTTATTATGTATGTTTAATCGAAAGTAACGTATATGAATCTAGTTAACTAAAGTTTAAACAAATTTCTAGATATGCTACACGTTTAAATGATCAACGTATCACGTTTAGGAAAAAACAGTCACACAAACACAGTGTCAAAGAAGAAACGTTACAATTCAATGGGTACATCTCCATAACTAACCTCCTGTAGTAAATCCTGAGCTGCAATGGCTTTCAATACATTCTTCTTACTTGTTTCCTGTATTTCTCCCCCAACTAGTAATTCATCCAATATATAATATGCCTTTTCATAATTAAAAATTATATCCAACTCGCATACCTAAACAAAGTATACAGTAAAACAGATGCATGTGTGTTGTATATGTAAAAATAGTTAGGAAAGAAGATGAAAGGAGAAATGCAGTAAATTCTACTCACACTACCAAAGTATTTATCCAATAATTCAACATATCGATGTATAATTTCTAAAGTGAGCAATTCATTATCGTTCTGTTCTATTGCACAGCAAAAATACAAACTTGCATATCTAAAATGAAATATTATTATTATTATTACTATTATTTTTTTTTCAAACATCACAATATTCTAAAAAATGCACAAGCTAAATATATACTGAGTGTTAATATAAGTCAGAGATACCTTTTGTAAACAACTTTGACGTCTTTCCACTCTAAAAAGCTTGACATTTTTGGTTTCCGGGCAAGTATCGTAGTAATTAGTTCTCTTGTAATCTTCTTCTTCAATTTATCCGGATGCGCGACGTACCACTTTTGCAAGCGTAGCTTACCTTGACGGCTGAACAACAACATAAATTGCATCTAGAAAAATAAAAAGAACAATACTACATGTAAAAAAAACTTTCTTTTTCAACATTTTCTAATACAGAGATTAACGCACCATTTTGTGCAAAATATGTTATATACTGTATCTTTCCAATATACTGTAAATTTCAGTCACAAAAGCACTATTTATTTTAAAACGACAAAAGGCAACTTTAATTTTCATTCGACTATTTGTCGTTTATTACTTATGGGTTATTGCATAATAAATAAATATAACTGTTCACTTGATCACAACTAAAGGCAGATGCCCTTCATCTCATAGTTTACGTACGCTTACGTTCGCGTAGATTACTGAGATCTATTAACACGACTATGCGACGTCATTTTAGAACTTTTATACTTGTTAACGGAAACTACGTTGTTGCCACGATATGCTTTTCAATTTGAACACTCGAAATATTTATTCATATCCTTTTTTATTTAAAAAAAAAAATGTTTCGTATCAATGTTATTATTTTAATGTGTAACATTAATTAATAGATATACAGAAATGTTAAAACTGCAGGATATAAATGTAAATTATTTTTTGGAAACTTGATGATTGCAACATTTCTAGGGACAAACTAAATAGTAACTATATAACTAACTAAATAGTACATATATGTATATTTAGGTATTATAAAATATGGTATGTTCGAAATCGGGATGCATTGTAATGCTGATACGTATATAAGTATACACGCAAACATGTTAGTTAACAAAGAGATCATCTTAAATTGAATTGAAAACACGAATAGTGTTTTTGTAAATGGTCATCATAATGGTATGTAATTGTTTAAAATTGTTACCTCTGTATCACCTGATAGTCCAATTGTAAGATAATCAAGAACGCAAAGAATTAGTGTCGAGTCTAGTCGAATGAATTAAACATGGCGGTGTGATAAGATGTTTCCAAAAAATGTAATAGTAAATAAGTTGACACAAGTAATATTTTCTTCGAAGAAATCTTTATAACTATAAGCTTTTATAAAATCGTATCACAAGCTAAATAAAGAATAAAATATATTCAATATTTGATCCTATTGTAGATAAAATTCAAATAGGATACTAACTAGATGGCGACATAAGCAATGTCTCAACATCTCAGAATTTAATATGGAAGTTTTGTATTAGCGTTATGAGTCCTCTGCTATTTCTTATTACTTGTTATTCAGTTTGTGCTCTTGTATTGTGTACATTTTAGATTATTTCAATGTATCTGTACATATTAGAAATTTAAATATTACATAGTACATAACACATACATGTATATAATGCTTATATGTAATGTTTAAATATGGCGATTTTTTTGTGTTAGCCTCTCTTAAAATGTTTTTATGATTTATTCTTTCTATTGGTCACATCTATTTGTAACATTTTAATTTTAAACAATTTCCAAAAGTTATAAATCAAACAAAACGAATAATTTGTGCCGTGTGTGAGTATATTTAATTGTATATTTAATGTAGAAAAGTATTTAAGTGCCATTCAGGTTATGTTTGTAATCTATGTATGATCATTTATTCATAGTAATATATTAAACATTTTCATTCGTTTATCGAATATAGATTGAATAATTCAAAGACTTCTGGATTCATAATGGTACCAATAATAAAAAAAATAAAAGTATTGAAATATATTTTATTTTGAATACAGAATAGATAAGAAAATATGGCGCAAAGATTTCCTGTTCCAAATACAGGAAGTAATGGTCCTCCACCACAACGGTATCCTCCTTCATCCGTACCACCAAATCTGCGTCAATATTCAGGACCAAATTTTCCAGTAAGTTTTTAATATTTTTAACCTATCCTTATTTGATATCGAAGCAATGCAAACGCATATCTATAGATCGTTTTATGATTTTATATCTAGATGCAACAAAGATCTGGATTTACACCTCCTCCGCAAATGAGCAACGCAGCACCAGGACCAGGAGGAATAATGAGACCTAATCAGGCTTATACCAATATGCGTCAAGGTCCAATGCCAACCCCTCCTGTTGGTAAAAGAAGCGCCGATCAAAGAATACCTTTGTCCCAGCAAAAACCGTATGTAATAGATATTGCATGTAATATACACTCTTTCATTTATTTTAATAGGAAAACAATTACGCTTATTTTTAGAATAATCATTTTACATACATTTATTTTTTACCAACATTATTTTGATATAACATTATACCTATAATGGTATACCTATAACAGTATACATATAATGGTATACCTATAACAGTATACCTATAACAGTATACCTATAATCACTAATTTACTCATACACGATTGATCTCATTTTTCTCTGGAAACTCAGGAACCATACATGTCATCATCACGCTGCCAACAAATTTGTACACACATTGATCCTTGAATCTGTAATTTTTACAAAAACTTATGTAGGTATTTTTGGAACAGTGACTTTTCACATTCCACATCGAAGAAGAAAAAGAAACTTGCTGACAAGATATTACCTCAAAAAGTACGAGATCTGGTACCAGAGTCCCAAGCTTATATGGATTTACTAGCATTTGAGAGGAAATTGGATGCAACTATAATGCGTAAACGTCTTGATATACAAGAAGCCTTGAAACGTCCAATGAAACAGAAACGAAAGTTACGCATTTTTATTTCCAATACCTTCTATCCAGCAAAAGAAGCAGCTGAGGGAGAGGAGGGTTCGGTTGCTTCTTGGGAACTCAGAGTTGAAGGCAGATTGTTAGATGATACTAAAAATGATCCTAACAAGGTATAATATACAATCCTTTTGCATTAATAACATTTTACATTTTTTATATCTGTTGGTAATAATATTTTTCTTATATGTATATTGCAACAGGTGAAAAGAAAATTTTCGTCCTTTTTTAAAAGTTTAGTTATTGAATTAGATAAAGATTTATATGGACCAGATAATCATTTAGTCGAATGGCATCGTACATTAACTACACAAGAAACTGATGGATTTCAAGTTAAGAGACCCGGAGACAAAAATGTTCGCTGCACTATTCTTTTACTTCTCGATTATCAACCTTTACAGGTATTACATATTTTCATATTCCCCATATCTCTTTTTCTATGTATATAGGGACACTCCATGTCAGTTCACAAATTTTAAGCCTGGTCATATCTTTAAAAAAAGTGATTGAAAAAACTTGAAAACAATCATGAATATGTCTTTCATCAATAACATAAAATTTTAAGCTGAATCGAAAAAGGTCAGCTGATAAAGTGGCCGATTTGGTGTGAAATGTCCCATATATATATCGTTTTTTCGAATAAATGTTACAGATACATTATAATTTACATGTGTATTATTTGTTGCAGTTCAAATTAGATTCACGACTTGCACGATTATTAGGTGTACATACGCAAACTCGGCCTGTTATCATTTCAGCACTTTGGCAGTATATCAAAACTCATAAGCTTCAAGACAGTCATGAACGTGAATTCATTAATTGTGATAAATATTTGGAACAAATCTTTGCTTGTCCCAGAATGAAATTTGCTGAAATACCACAAAGATTAAATCCATTATTGCATCCACCTGATCCCATTGTGATTAATCATGTTATTAGCGTAGAGGGTAAGTTCAGTTGAAAGTATACTTTATCTAAAATATCATTTGTATATATAAATTGTTCTATTTATAAATCTATCTATTAACTTTGATCTAGGCACAGAAACTAAACAAACTGCGTGTTACGATATAGAAGTTGAAGTCGATGATACATTAAAAACGCAAATGAATAATTTTCTGCTATCGACTGCAAGTCAACAAGAGATACAAAGTTTAGATAACAAAATACATGAAACTGTTGATACAATTAATCAATTAAAAACGAATCGAGAATTTTTCTTAAGCTTTGCCAAGGATCCTCAACAATTTATTAACAAGTGGATTATATCTCAAACAAGAGATTTGAAAACTATGACAGATGTCGTTGGAAATCCAGAGGAAGAACGTAGAGCTGAATTTTATTATCAACCTTGGGCACAAGAAGCTGTTTGTCGTTATTTTTACACTAAAGTTCAACAAAAACGAGCCGAGTTAGAACAAGCACTTGGCATACGAAATTCATAAAATTATTATAAAATTCTCAATCAATGCAAATGAAATTTAGAAAATATTTTCATGATTATCTTCAGTTATAGTTACTATTACATTTTAGTTTTTCGTAATATTATAAGTAAACTACAAATAGACTCTTTCTCTCTCTCTCTTTTTGTTTTATTTTTCTGATTGTGCGATTTAAATTATACAATTAGTGATTATTAAACATTGATATATTTATGAAGCGAATATGCATTAGAAAGAGAGACTTATTTATGTAAATACGTATATTACGTATATTATTGAAATGAGACATTTTTAAATGAATTATAAAATCTTACATTATATTATATATTTGCCGCAGTACTATTATGAATAAATCTCACACATAATTAATTAATAAAAATATTGATACAAGTGTACTACACATATCTTGTTTGAATACGTTTTCATTTTATGGAATTTATATTGTCTGATTTAATTGTTGGTAATAAATTAATGTCGGTGTGCTTAGGCAGTACCAACCAGTCTCAGCTCGCCACATATTCTTTTGATGTGCATGCGTGAACAGTTTTTTTTTTACAAATTAAGAACTTTTAATTAGACAATTTAACTCTAAATAGTTCAAATGCGGTCTTGATCTTTTCATGTGTCATGAAGCCTATATACAAGAAGAATAAATGCGATACGTCGAATTTGTGTCGTTGAAAATGAGGAAATATCGGATACGATAATTCTCCACGAGGGCGGCGGTGGTGTTCGGCAGTTCAGATTTTAGTACGTGTGTGTGTTGTTTTTTTCTGTTTGTGTGTTGTTTTTTTCTGTGTGTGTGATACAACCATGGTACAACTAATAATTTGAAAAATCTGACCCATCGAATCAACGCGCTCTCTAGTGGCAATAGAAATCATCCTTTCATACTGCATATACCTAGTAGACACATTTATAAACACAAAACCTAAATATAGCTTCGTTTTTATAACACTCATTCGTTCTCCTTGTATACAGCTTCGTGCACGTGTATATATCTACTTCAGTAACCTAAACAGAAGATTGTATTTTCCTTTGAAATACAATTAATTATGTATTAATGAAGTATCTAATATTATTAAAACAATGTTAACAACGAAAGTATATTTTAGAAAGACTAAAGGCGGAAATATTTATAAGGTATAACGAATTTATGTAAATAAATATTACCACTATAATTATGCTTTTCTACATAACATTGTGAATTTGTTTCTTTGTATTATTTAGACTGTTAGGGAACACTACTTGCGGGATGATCTTTGGTGTGGTTCCAAAATTTGCAAAGAAAGTTCTAACGATTTTGCAAATCGTTGTAAACAAAAAGATCGAGAATGCATACTAGATATTAAAGATACCAGTGCAAAAAGCACATTTTTTTCATCACCGTACTATCTTTTATTGGATACTAATATTATTTTAGATCAAGTAAGCTATCCGTAATCTGTTTAATGTATTTTGTCTTTTTTTTTTATTAGCATTTTTATAGTAAGCATTTCAATGGTTTGATATCATATTTGTACATCTTTTTAGATTGATATATTGTCAGAAGATGTTTTTTACAACGTTATTATTTTACAAACTGTGTTGAAAGAAGTACGACACAAAAGTCCTATCGTTTATAAAAGGTTAAAAGAAATCATCGCCGATGTTAAAAGAAGGTTTTATATTTTTGTCAATGAACATCACAAGTAAGTCATTTATATTAAATGTAACAATTATTTACTCTTTATGTTATAATTCATTCATTTTGTTTTATTTACGAAGAGAAACTTACGTGGAAAGAGTACCAGGGGAAAATATAAATGATCGCAACGATAGAGCTATACGCGTTGCAACAAAATGGTACAATAAACATTTAAATGTTGACGGAGAAAAAGTTGTCGTTGTTTTATTAACAGACGATGCAGACAATAAAATGAAAGCTGCGCAAGAAAACATTCCTGTCTTTTCTAGTAAGATATATTATTTTATTTAAACGAATGAAAATAGATTGTCGTACATGTATAAAATATTAAAAGATAATAACATATAATTTGTGCAGTGGAAGAATACGTTCAATCATTGGAAAAGTCAAATTTCTTGCTAGACAAATTATCTAAAAGAAATTTTCAACTGGAAACAGAAGGACGGGAATTTTTTCCATGCCATTTGCCACCTTCTGAATTACATAATGGTATTAAGAATGGAAAATATTTCCAAGGAACATTTTCCGCATCGAGAGAAAATTTTCTCGAAGGAAATGTGAATGTAGATGGAATAGAAAAATCGGTAAAAAAAATTTTGTTTGCGACATTTTAGATATGCTATAGACAACTTATTCGTTCGTTATGTTTTTGGATTATATTAGATACTGGTGCAAGGTAGAATGGGGCTTAATAGGGCCATCGATGGTGACATCGTTGCGGTTGAACTTTTTCCAGAAGATCAATGGTCAATTCCCAGTGACATCGTATTACAAGATGAAGACGATACAGATATACCAGACATATTAGACGATGAAAAAGAATTAAATAATTCGTTTAACGTTAAAGATACCGAAAGAACTCCAACAGGGAAAATAGTGGGTATCATTAGAAGAAAATGGAGACAATATTGTGGTATCTTAAAACCAAGTATTATTCAAGGGGTAAATATATGTCTATATATAGACACATGTACATATAATAATATATGTCTGCTAATATAATCTGTATATCGATAAATTGTTTCATAATTATAATTTTAATTCTACGCGTTCTATGTTTATATATATATATCTCTTGTTATATATTATTTAGAATGTAAAACATCTTTTTGTACCTGCTGAGAGAAAAATTCCTAAAGTTAGAATAGAAACTAGGCAATCGGAATTATTAAGCAAACAAAGGATTATAGTAGCCATAGATTCGTGGCCAAGAAATTCGAGATACCCATTGGGACATTTTGTACGAGCTTTAGGTAACATTGGAGATAAAGAAACTGAAAATGAAGTATTGCTTTTAGAGCACGATGTTCCACATAGCCGATTTTCCGATGCAGTACTTAGCTTTCTTCCAAAAATGCCATGGTCTATTCCGGAAGACGTAAATATGATTAGTCTTAGAGCAATAATGTTTTCCAATGAATTATTTTCTAACAACTTTTCATAATATTTAGGTTATCGCGACAAGAGAAGATTTGAGGCATTTGGACATTTGTTCCGTAGATCCACCAGGGTGTACTGATATTGATGATGCTTTACACTGTAGATTATTACCAAATGGTAATTACGAAGTTGGCGTGCACATTGCAGATGTAACTCATTTTATTAAAGTTGGAACAGCTTTGGATAAGGAAGCTGCCTTAAGAGGTACTACAGTCTATCTAGTTGACAAAAGGATTTCTATGATACCAGGTACGGGATATAATATACTTGCTTTATAATATATAATCTTTTAATACAAGTGTATTATTATTCTTAGATTGTTGATATTCTTATTTAAATATATTTATTTATATTTATATTTATACAGAACTACTAAGCAATAATTTATGCTCTCTAAGAGAAAACGAAGATAGATTAACATTTTCTTGTATATGGGAAATCGACTCTGAAGCAAATATCATAAGTACCACATTTTGTAAATCAGTAATAAAATCACGTCGTGCCATGACTTATGAAGAAGCTCAAATTAAAATCGACGACGTCAATCAGAACGATGTAATTGCCAAATCATTAAGAAATTTAAATAATTTTGCAAAAAAATTGAAGAAAAAACGAATGGAGAAAGGGTAAGAGAGACTATTTGCATCGTTTCCTTTTCTCTTTCTCTCCCTCTTAAACGTGCTTGAAATGATAGATTTTAATTTTCAGGGCTTTGACTTTGGCATCACCAGAGATCTATTTACGAGAAGATAACGAAACTCACGAACCGATTGACGTGCAAGTAAAAAAATTAAGGGATACAAACTTTATGATCGAAGAATTCATGTTACTCGCAAATATTTCAGTTGCACACAAAATTTTTTCGGAATTTCCAGAATGTGCGATGCTTAGAAGGCATCCTGAACCATCGCAAAAAAATTTTGAACCATTGATTAAAGCTGGAAAAAATCAGGTAAGAAATTAATTAGATATAAACTTACATATATATTTTTTCATACGTGTTTTCTATATGTATTATAATAGGGTTTTGTAATAAATACAAACAGTGGAAAAGAATTAGCTGAATCGTTAGATAAAGCGCAAAAAGAAGATAATCCTTATTTTAATACTATGTTGAGAATTTTGGCAACAAGATGTATGTTACAAGCAGTATATTTCATCAGTGGAATGCACCAACAAAATGAATTCTTTCATTATGGATTAGCTTCTCCAATATATACGCACTTTACATCACCTATTCGCAGGTAGGTACTATGTTAATTATCCATTTTTCATCTTTAGATATGTATATATATCGTAAAGTTTAATTTAATTCTCTAAATCTATAACATCATTACATTTGATTCTATTTATTTGTAGATATGCGGATATTATCGTACATCGTCTCTTGGCAGTATGTATTGGAGCAGATGTTACTTATCCAGAATTATTGGATAAGCAAGAAAATCATAAATTATGTTCTAATTTAAATTATCGAAATAGGATGGCGCAGTACGCTGGTCGAGCATCGGTTGCATTAAATATACATGTATGTATATATTATTAGCATAAAAACATATATATGCATATACTAATTATTTCTACCGTTTAGTTGTTTTTCCGAGAAAAAGTCAAGGATGAAGAAGGATATATTCTTTTCGTACGAAAAAATGCACTACAAATACTAATTCCAAAATATGGTTTAGAAGGGACACTGTATTTAAAAACAACTGAATCATCTGTTAATTTTACATATAACCGAGAGGATCATTCTCAGTCGTACGAAAATATAACATTTCGAACATTTGATCCTATTGTAGTGCAGTTAAGTTTAGATAGATCTAACGTCCAACATGAAAAATTGATTTTCAAACTTGTTAAGCCAGAGGTAAATATCACAGAAAAAACGATTTAAAGTATATCTACAGACAGTCATTTAATTCCATTTATTTTTTAAATATTTTTTGTATACATTTTTCATATGTAATTACAGATTCCAGGTTTCAGCGTTCCTCCAATAACACAGGAATTAGTTGAACAACAACCCATTTCTAACGTGGAAGTAAACGTAGGAAATACAATAGAAAAAAGAAAAAGTCCAAATGTTTTAAAAAAGAAAAATAAGAAAAAAAAGAACTAAATTGAACAAAATATATTTTTTCTAAATTACGAGTATATTTTTATCCAAAAAATATATAAACAAATTGTAATAAATATTTATAGTAATTATGTATGTGATGTTATACCGTTATTGCTACTACTACCGTACTTTTGCATAAGTTTTGATCATAGATAT